TGATACCAACCACCCAGAGTTAGCAGAGCTTACAAGTTGAAGGGTGCAGTCAGAAATGTGGGTGGTCCATGATGACTCCTTAAGTATAGCTGTATCTGAGGTAAAGTGGGGCATTTTGAGGTGTTGGACTGGTTGCCAAATTTTCTTTTATAATTTCTCTAAATTTTTCAAAACCTGCTGTTTAGCAGAGAAGAAATTCTTACAATTTCTATTAATTTAAATTAGTGATCCATGACATGCTAGCTATCTTTCATTTACTAGTATCTAGACATACTACATAATGATTACAATATGAACATTGCTGAATTCTGGAATTTCAATAGTAATAACATTTCTTCAAAGTGATAAAAATTAGTATTTTCCTATAGAAATAAAGTAAAATAAATAAGTAAAAAGCAGCTTCACATTGGAATGTGTTATAAAATCTGACTTACCACACTTGATACTTTTCCATGTAGTTTCTAATTCCACTACATCTGATAATTTAAATGCTAATTCTACATATATATAGCATATTAAACAAATTTTTATTTTTTTAAACTGTTGTCTAGTATCTGTTTCACTTTTTCCCTGAAGTAAAATATGCATTTGCAGTGAACTATTACAAAAATCAGCAACTTTGCCTGTTCCTTGTCATACATCTTTTTAGACATTCAGGAAAATATCTATTGTACTTGAATGCAATTAGCAATATGATTTACAACACTGTAACAATGATCATACACTATGTTTTCATATTATAAATGCTTCTGGAGAGAAACATCTCCATTTCACTTTTTTCAAAACATTCAGAATACTGGAAGAGACAATTTCTATAATTTAATTTGTCATGTAATAGTTTCTGTTCTCCCTGGTTTTATTATTTGTATAGTGTTAAAATCCATTATTGTTTAATGCATAGTTATAGATTTACTGGCAATACGCCATTATCTTCTTTCCTCTAATGAGTGTCTCCAAAAATAAAAAGAAATAAAGAAGAAAAATAAAATGACCCAAATGACACATAAGAAGTGATGTAAAATAAACGGGCGATGCCACCCCATCTCATGGCAGTGGGACAGATTTTTCTGTTTTCCTTTTGCCAGGAATCTTTATGTTGCTGAAGATCAGAAAAAGGTAACAAAGGTATTCAAATAGTAGATAAGAATTTGAGAGTGTTTTCATAGTTTTTTTTTATTTAATGTTGTAAACGTTAAATAAGCGCTTTCCTTCGGACAGTTTTTCTTTTGTAGTATTCTTAAAACAATTTTTTCAATGAAATCCTTTTAAAGAAATTTTATTCTTCCCACATCTCTCATTCAATTTCCTGGAGAAAGATGTGGGTGTCAGTGACTAATTGAACTAGCAGCTATTATTTACCCAACAAGTTCGAACAGAATAGGATAGCCCAATGAAATCAAAACCACTGAGTACAGTCAGTGTCAGACAACCTAAGAGGGCAACTGGGTTTTATCTGTTGACATACTGAGCAATCTGACTTATTAAAGCTCATTAACATTTATTGGCCACCTACGTTGTCAAGTGCTGAGCAAGGCTTTGGAGTAGAAATGATGTAAAATGAACCTAGCTTTGAGTTTCTTACAGACAAATGGGGGTTGCAGACAACACAACTAATCATTGCAGTAAAATTTTTTAAAGTATTGAGTGTTTAATTAACATTACCTTGCTTCATCCAGTCTTTTCCATCTCCGTAAATGGTAATTCTATCTCTTCAGTTACTCCTGCCTCCTGTCATCCTTGATTCCTCTTTTCCTGTTACATCCCCACATTAAAATTATGGGCATATTCTAATGACTCCCACCTTAAAATATACACAGAATCTGATCACTTCTCACCAATGTCATTTCTACTCTCTGGCCAAACCTCTTATTTGGATTATTATATAAAATCCAATCTGTTCTCTGTTTCCACACTGGTGCCTTTTCTTTAAAAAAATTTATTTATTTATTTATACACACGAGAGAGAACTGGGGTATAAGCCAGAAGTGCAGGGGTGAGAGGATTCACCAGAGACAGAGTGGGAAGCAGAACAGGCAAACTGACTGAAATATACTGCTGAGGGGTGCAATGAGTGAGACAGGCGAGGTCTGCTGAGTCATGTAGGTTGCTCCCTGTCAAGCCAGCCAGAGATCAAACTAGTGCTGCAGTGGCTGGCTTGATAGCTCTGTCTATAACCCCTGCGCCACCAGGGAGGCCCCCCACTGGTGACTTTTAAACTTAATTTCAACATGGCATCTGAGAATACTCCCATACAAGTTGTCTAATATCACTTATACAAAATCTCTTCATTACTTCCCATTTCATTAAGTAAAAAAATAAACTCCAGAGAATAGCTCACAGCTTCATACAAATCTTTTCTTCATCTCTACCTTTCTACATCCCTTCTCAGCCTCTCAGTCACACCTTTCACTCCACTCTAGCTACACCAGCTTCCAGGCACTTCCTTCAATCCAACATGTTCATTTTTGTGTCAGTTCCTTTCTAGCTACCTACTTGTTCTTTCTTGTTGGATGAGTTATTTTCCTTTATTCTCTCATCTCATTTTCTTTGCTCAGAAGTCATATTCAGGGGCCTCCCTGGTGGCGCAAGGGGTTAAGCACCACACTATGAAACAATCTGCAGCCTCTACAGCATGAGTTCGATTCCCTGGTCGGCCAGGGAGCTACCCACATGGCACAGCAGACCTCTCCTGTCTCGCTTACCTGCTGCTCCCCTCAGCAGTGTATTTCAGTCCGTCTGCCTGTTCTGCTCCCCACTCTGTCTCTGGTGAATCCTCACCCTCTGCACATCTGGCCTTTACTTCAGTTCTTGTATGTATAAATAAATCTTTAAAAAAAAGTCATATTATTTTCTTTTCCATTTTATATTATTTATTTATTACATCACATATATATATATAAATGTTATATGTATTACATCATGTGTGCTTTCTCCTTTTAGGGGTAGTCCCTATATAATTCCCATCACCAATTTACCTGAGCACCATCACCATAGCCCCTTGTGCTCTCCCCTCCCATTTTGATCCCTCTCCTTCCCCATTCACTGCAGAATGACTCTCATTTATAGTTGCCTGTTAATTTTGTTTTTTTAATTATAATATTTTTCCTGATCCCTTATTTGGTTCCCCTCCATTCCTCCTATATGTGAAACCATCCTATATTACTCAGAAGTCATTCTGTCATTAAGATCTTAGTGTGAATTCTATTTAAAACTGAAATCCTAATTTCCCAACATTCTTTACTCTGCATCCTTATTATTTTCCTCTATAGTCTTTACCACTATATGACACAATAGCTTCATGTTTTGTTGTTTGACTCTCTAAATTGAATGTAACCTCCAAAAGGGCAATGTTTGTTTGTTTTTTTATTCACTACTCTTTCTTTGGCATTTTGTACCTGACACATAGTAGTTGTTCAATTAGTTAAACTGTTGAGATTGACTCCCGCTTTTGAAGTGTTCTCTGATCCTTGAAGGCAAGTTTGTCCAGAAAAATGATCACATATATAATTTTGTTCCCAAGTTTGCCTGTGATTGACTCTGTGTTTAACTACATAGGCAGTGCTAGTTACTGATTTTGCAGAGCCTAATAAAAAACATAAATGTGACATTCCTTATTGAAAAATTATTGACAATTTTCAGAGGGCCACTGCCAACTATTAAGAGGGAGACACTTCTAGGTACAGGCTATTTGTACAGCCAGCCTTATGGAGGACCTATATATGTTATCTCTTCATTTTTATATCCTAGTAGTTATGGGTCTTATCGCTGGTTCACAGCAGGTGTTCTATAAATGCTTGGTGACTGAAAGCACATATCCTTATTTAAAGTATTTTAAAACTATTCTACTTTATTATAACAAAATAGCTCTGATTTTTGGAAACACAATGGGAGTCTGAAGTTAAATTTAAGTAATATGACAATTTGAAGGGAAAATCAGGATAAAGGGTTGCCCTACACACTAATACAATATTTCACTTACAGATAGGTTTCAGAAATTTCCAAGTTTTCTATCTCACAAATTTAAAAATAATAAGAAGTGGCACATGACTGCAGACTATTTTATTTTATCAAGTAAGTCTATCTCATTAAAGGTATAAAGGAACATCCTTCAAGACACTATTCCCTAGAATCATAAAGGTGAGAGTTAGTCAGTGGTGCATATATTTTGTGAATTACCTGCATTAACTGAAAATAGACAATCTAGTATCTAGAGAGTTTTTTTAGTATCCTTGATGCAAAACCAAATGCATATAATATATAATATATGCATATAATGCATATAATATAATGTATAATATTTATTTGATAACTAATAATATGGGTTTCAATTTCCAAGTGGAAGATACTTGCTATCAGTGTGTTCTTGGAGCATATTTTAGAGAAAATAGACATTTGAAAATGTGCTTTAAATGCCAGGAGAATGTTCGTTAAAGAATAGAGGGCATATCTATTTACAGGTCACTTTAGAGAAAATGGTTTTATTTTCTTTTGTGCTGATTTAAAAAAAAATACACAGGTCTCTGAAATCTGCAATGTATTGAATAGCTGGATGAAAAGAGATATGATTGAATTCATAAATGAGAGTGAGCCTTTTATAGGAGAGCAATGCAGGCTCTTTAGTTAATCTATCCTTTCTTCATTTCCCCAAAGTCAAGGCAGCCTTTTGCTATAAAGGGAAACACTGATATAACACTTCACATCTGTATAGCACTTTTTATTTTTCAAAAGATTTTTTTATCTGTTCTCAAAATATAATTGTTAGGAAAATAGGACAGGTAGGTTATTTTTGTATACTTCGGAGAATCGTGCATGCATTCATTGATCGAAACTTAAGAAAAAAAGAGAAGAAAATGAAGTACAATTAAGAATATAAGAATTCAGGGATTCTTTAGAGTATTTTTGCTTCAGTTATAACTTCAGTTTTCTAATATTGTCACATAAGTACATCAAAATCTCTAAAATTTTAATTTTATTATTTGTTTGTGAGAATTACCACAAGAGAGATACACTATATGAATTCAGTAGTCAGTGTCATATTTTCAATCTTTATTTTCAATCCTATAAATCAGTGATGTTTTCTTAAGATATGCAAACATATGTTCTAATTGCTTACTTTCTGATCATATAGATGCATTTTTTTACATAAGACTCAAAACATATGATACTTCACCATATTTTGAATACAAGTCTATACAGATCATTTCCTTTGACTGTAGATATTAATCAAGGTGAAGTTCTGAACTGCAAAATATGATATTTTGAGAAAACCAAATTAATAAAATTTTCATGGAGTGATTTATTATAGTATTCAATAATTCTATGTTATATATAATCCAAATTGAGTAAGTCCTAAACTTAATTAATATAATTAATTGCAAGACTTTTTGGAATAAAATAATACAATGTGATTATTTTGAGATGAAAGTAGTTTCTTCTGACAGAATTCAAGATCACTTTTCTACATGTATTCTATTCTTGATGTGTCTGAAGAAAGAAATAGTTAATGAAACTTGCAAAACCTGAAAGAAAAAAAACCATAAGAAATTAAAATGTAACCTATAAGAATAATTTGCAAAGTTAATATATATTATATAATCACCAAAATGCACACTGTACAGGGAAAAGTGATGAAAGGGTAAGAAAATTTAAAAGTAAGGTACATAATGGTCTAAGAGTGTTATTTCTAAAATAACCCAGCTGCCACCAAGCTCATTTATAGAGGGGGCTAAAGAAAGACTGTTCCCATTGTAGTTACATAGGCTATGATTGGGCTACATGCCTTAATGATAAGTTTTTTATTAGTCATTCTACATCATTAATCCTACAAATCTGCCTTTTTGCCATAGGTTCATAAAAGGTGATGTGCAAAGGGTAGGTAATAAAAGGGAGCAGAGAGATTATGCCTCCTTTAGGCTTAAATATTTCAGTATAAAATCAACAGAGAATAAATATTTCATAGAACAATACTAATACTTAAAATAATGTTTTGGTTAACGACCATTTGAAGATGAAAGCTATTACCCATTGATAAAAATTTATGCAACCTTAAACCAGTGCCTTGTGGATTAACATAAAACAAAATTCAATATCCTATTCCAGCCAAACTATGCGTTAAATATCCATTCCAATTTTATAGTTTACAATTTTATAGACAATGTCAAAGTATATATAATAATCTATCCATTCTCCCAGCTTCTTTGAATTCATAACCTTGGCTTACTTTCATCAGTGTTCACTAAGACTGACTGAATGCATGAATCCTGTAGGTCATGTTTATCTATTTGGTTCCCCATCATGTCTAACATCTAGCATGGTGCTTGACACATAGTCAATGTTTTCCCCTTTTCATATTTATTTAGATGAATGAATGAATGAGTGGATGGATAAATGAGTGAGTAGATTTACTTATGTTAAACATCTACTTAGATTTCAGAATGTGTCAGCTTGCAGACTGCCCAAATTGTGCTCTTATTGATAAGAAATGAATCATTTGTTTGCTTTTTTTAAATGTTGCAAAGCAATGAAATACTATCTGCTAAGATGACTTTTTATTAACAAACTCTACCTACTTTACCAAGTAGGTAGGCTGATTGAGGGTATCACCTTCATCTGGGACCTGAACCTTTCTACACTATGAATAGTCTCAAAGGCCTAGCTCCTGTTGGATTAACTTAACTCATTAAGTCTCTGCCTGGTTGTTCTTCAGATTATTCTGTATAGGTCATATTGCATATTTTTTATCTTTAAATTTGAACAATACTTACCTCTGAAGCCAACAGTCCAAAATTAATTCCAATTAATGTTAATGCATTCGCAAGATACCACGTGTTGATCTTATTTTCACATCCCTAAGGAAGAGAAGTTACTTAGATTAACATAAAGTTGGAAATGCTCTTATACATGACTCTAGTACAAAGAAGAAGAGACATAGAGATTTACCAAAGTTTAAAAAAGCAAACCAAGGTCTAACTGCAAACTGATGGTAGGACAACTCAGTTGCTACTTTTAAAATTGCTAAGATGTTGTTATGTAATTAAAACCATAAATTTATTAAATTTTGGGAGGCATATGACTTTCTGCAGTCTATTTTATAACTTAGCAGGATACAAACCACCTAAAATGATTATTTTCCAAGTAGAAGAAACTTTTTAATCAATATAATATTCTACCTGTAAATTATGAATTCATATATATAATATATAATTCATAACTATGAGTTATGTGATTGAAATATACATATTAAAATTAGAACAACAGTATATAAATTATAAAGGTATTAGATGTTCTTGGGCTAAAAACCCTTTTTTAATATACCACACCTATAAATAGCAGTTGCTACAGAGGAGCCTCTGCTCTAATATGTGCACATTTACCTGTACACCACTTTTGTCATTGCTCCCTTCAGGTTCCGCCAATCTTCATACTTCTTTACTTCTGGTATTTCAGCTTCCTTACCAAACCTATACCCCAGAGACTTGCCAAAAGTGTTTCTACTCTTTGCTGGGATTTGGGAAGGAGGTTTGGGGAGAAATATTGATGGTATCTCAGTTTCTGGAATTACTTCGATCACACATTCCCAGGTTTGTTTAATTAATTTATTATACACATGAAATAGTACTTCAATTCACCTAACTATAGGCTCAATTTAGAGAAGTATCTTAAGAATGTACTCACCACAAATAAAATTGTTTTTATATAAAAATTTGCTTAGAATTTTGAATTGATTTGCAAAAAAAAAAAAAGGCACTGTAAGCACGTGGAAGAAACCTTATCTTTACCTCCAGGTAAGTTGCATTCAGAGGTACATCACAAAACCACTGTTTCAATGTGGAATTTGTACAAGAACATGGCACCTGTTCCGAATTTTCTTTATTCTGATTCTTTATCCAATCTGTGAAATTGTGTTGGCCACAGCACTGTAACTAGAAAAACAGATTATATGAGCTTTACTATAAAATATTAAAAATGCAGATAATTACATGATTCCCATGCATATTAAATTTGTTTTTGTGATGAAGATAATTGATTCCCCATTGGAATGTGTTAATTAAACAAATAAGTATATTTTGTTCATTTCATTATTTCATTTCAGTAATTGTTGATATTAATCATAGCTAAATATTTGCACTAGTGGGTTATATTTGTTTTTGTTTGTTTTTTGTTTTTTAATTCTTTTTATTTTTATTTATTTATTTATACAAGCACTGGGTATAGTCAGAAGTGCAGGAGGGTGAGAGAATTCAGAAGAGCCAGAGTGGGGAACAGAACAGGCAGACTGACAAAATACACTGCTGAGGGGAGCAGCAGGTGGCAGGAGAGGTCTGCGCGCCATGTGGGACCCTCGCCAGTGGCCGGGGATTGAACCTGCACTGCAGAGGCTGCGGGCAGCTTTGCAGCCCAGCACTCAACCGCTGCGCCACCAGGGAGGCCCTAAGTGGGTTATATTTCGATGAAATTATTATATGTGAATTTATCCTCAATGAGCCTAGGATGGAAGACATATCTAATGTTTGAAAGATACAAACTATGTTTAGGGTCAGAACATAGAAGACATAGAGAATCACCTCAGCCATACCTTCATCCTAAATATGTATGTGTGTGTGTGTGTGTGTGTGTGTGTATGTGTATGTATTTTATTTTTTAAAGATTTATTTATGCATGCAAGAACTGGGGTGGGGCAGGGTGAGAGAATTCACCAGAGACAGAGTGGGTAACAGAACAGGCAGATTGACTGAAATACACAGCTGAAGGGAGCAGCGGGCGGGTCAGGAAAGATCTGCTCCGCCATGTGGGCAGCTCCCTGGCTGGGGATGGAACTCGTGCTACAGTGGCTGCAGATAGCTTCATAGTACTGACACTTAACCCCTCGCACCACCAGGGAGGCCCTTCTATGTATTTTAAATACAGAATATGATGTCCTATGTGCTTAGTATTTATGTATATATAACATATATAAAGAAATTCAAGATCATTTCTACTTTCCAGAAGTAAGGTGAAATGTTAACCTTAGTATAGCAGTTAAGAGAAAAAAATATATAGTGCTATACCATCAGGGGTTGAATTTTGATTCTGCTGCTTATTATCAGTGTGGAACTGGCTAATAAATTTCTCTTTCCTTCATCTATAATATGAGGAAATATTTCTTACCTCAGTGGGTTGGGAGGATTAAGCAAATTAGCATATACAAAACATTTATAAAAGGGCCTGGCACTTAGTAAATGTGTGCTTTTTTTCTTTATCAAACACTTACTGTAGTATAGGTGCTGATCTATTTTATGTAAACCATTTGGCTGACAATATAATGCCCTTTCCTTAGCCAGAAAAATATGAACTGTGAAATAATAACTCTAATAATGTTAGTTAACAACTATTAGTTGCTCATTCCATCCCAGATCCAAGGTTTTCTATGTATCCTATATATTGCTTCATTTATTCCTGCCAGCCAGAAGTAGAATTCATTTTGCCCATTTTATGAATGTGGAACCTGAAATTATGAAGGTTATTCATCCGGGGTCCCAACGCTACTAAGGGGCAACCCTAATATTCAGGCTCAAGCGCCTACACTACTCTGTTTTCAGCAGGAACTGGGCTGGACTTGGCTTGCTCATGTGCAGCAGGCAGATGGCCCCAGTTGGCAGAAGACGACCAACACTTTTACAAGTGAAGACAGATTAAAATGCACATCAATCACCCAGAAAAGGAGATATAAGTTAGAGAAGAAGGATAAAGCTCAAGATCTGTTAAGTAAAGGCAATACTCTTCTACCCAGTTGGTCTGGAAGATACAGGAAACTCCATCCATTCCTCTGCCTCTGTCAGCTGTTCTTCCCTCTCTGCCCCTCCACACAGAGATCACCTTTGGCATTTAATTTTTAGTTTTATACTAATTTTATCTTACAGTTTTCTGTAAAGCATTCAGAATAATCCACTTGGATATGTCTCCACTCGTGTTGTTAGATCCATACTCAGAAATGACTAAGTTGACTTTGTCATGCCATACTTTCTGAACCTGTTGAAATTGTATTAACATTTGAAAATTTGATAAAATTTTTCCAGTAGTTCATCAAAAAAGAATATTCAAACTTACCTGTTTGCTGCTATCTGTTTATATCTAAGTGGTTTATTTTTCTTCTTTATAACTATTTTTAGCAATCTCAGTGAGTGTTAAAGCATTTGTCTTTGACATTATGATTTACAGAAGAATATATAAGACATATTTTATGATTAGGGACAGATTATTGTCCTGAATGAATGATTTTTTCTTGTGCCCTCAGGAAAAATTGTGAAAGACTTTGAAATCGATCAAAAAAACAAAAAGAGATCACTAAGAATTTTTTAAACGGAAAGTAGGTTTTCTTTAGCATAGTCCACGATCTTCTGATTCTATGGGTCTGTACCTCTGTACCCTTTGTAGCTTTTTAAAACTTGTTTTATACTATTGAAATTGCAAAAAAAAAAAAAAAAGGAAAATGATTTTTTTGTCAGAGATATGCAAATAATTTTTTTGGGGGGGAGTAAAATTGATTCCTTCTCTTCCAAGCCTACTCTGTACCTATTAAGTGACAGCCTACAAGTATTTTTCTGGATTCTCCTATGAATTAGCTTTCATATCTTACTGGTTAATCAAAATGTTAAATAAAATCACAGACCTGTGTCTATTGTATATTTTTACAAAAATCATGATTCTTATATTTTTAAAAATTATCATTTCACAATACTGAAACTAAATGATCATATCTAAAAGTTTGGGGTGGGAAAAATGCTATTCCAAAATCTAGATATTGTAGAGCTAGGTACACTTTATCAGTAACTTAAGCATTCGAAAGTTTGTGATTGTCATAATTCTCAATTTGGATTTCAAAAATACCAAAAGGTAGGGAAAACAGATACTAGTTTTATTTTATTATAAGAAAACAGAATTTAATTACCTGTTTGGACATTAATAAAGAAGAAGAGTTGGACTTTTAAAGATGGTTCATCTGAATTCTAGTCTAAGGACTTTTTACTGTATTATGGTGTTCTTTGAATAAAAAAAATTAAATATGTAATGAAAATACTAGTATAATATAATGTATACAAGTTATACTTTCTATGTACACAAGTTTATACATCTATGTTTTAATACCTTTAAAAAGATAAGAATATTGCAAAGTGTTAGTACTGTAAGGTAACTAATTTATTGTCTAAATTAATTTTTATTAAGAATAGAAAATGGTGTCTTTCTATTTTATATTGGTGTGGGGAGATTTATGTCCTCATTTACACTCCAAATTATTATTTGAGAGCTCAAGAATGCAAGTGACAAACCAGGAACAAAATTACTCCACAAATAAGGGGAGAAGAGATAAACAGATACCTCCTCAACATCTATTGAATTTTTTTTTTTGCCTTTGATGTTCAATACATGCTCATAGGTCTTAATAATTGAAGGCATCACATTTTCTTTAGATTTCAAATAAAAAAGATAATCTTTCCATACCTCTTCTTTCTTTGCAAAGATGAATGCTGAAAGTACAACCTGAACACCAATGGCCCACAATAACAGAACTGCATACTACAATAACAAAAAAAATAGAGATGACAATATATATCTAATATATTTTTAGATGTTACAATGATGAGAAAAATGTATCGTATGTGAAATATGTGGTCTTAAAATGCCCATAGATATCACTGAACTTTTCTTCCTTCACATGGAAGAGTGAATCTTTGAAATAAAGGCAAAGAAGAAATATAGTGAACATTTGGATAAGAGTAAGATAAAAAGAAGTGATAACATTTCATGAGAACTCTAACAGATGACTTGTTCTAATGAAGTTGTTGATAACATATTCCTCATTAGATCTGAAACTGCCACAGAAGAAAATTCAATAATCTGAACCAGCAATTAAAACAGAATTCTGCTAAAATAAGAGTGCACACTAAATTTCTGATTCACTATGGAAATTATTCCATCAAAGTAACAAAAAACAAAGAAACTAACAACTGCAATAGTAAAGTTAAATCTGTATCCATTTAAACTATTTCTTTGAAAACTGAAAATATTTCTACTCAGTCAAATAATGTGATTTTCAAATTTATTTGACTATTTTAGTGTTTAAAAACATGTGGTCACTTGCATCTTCATTAGACCACACAGTAATATATATTATGTAGAGTCTATAATAATTTGTAAAGTTAGCAGTCTGAATACATTACTAATAAAGTATAAGATGACTCATTATTGGTACTTAGCATCAAGTATTTTAATACTTTAAAATATACAAAAAATTGTATACTTGACAGAAATTATATTTTCCATTTTCAAAAACAAAAACTTCAGGAAAAATAAGGTCCTGAGGACTGTTTATAACTTTAGATTTACAATGCATACACATATAAGCTCTCACTTAATCTTCACTAATAAGAGACTGGCAAAGGCAGAACAAATTGTGTAATATGCTAAAAATAATTGTTGAGTTTATTTTCCTTGCCAAGTTGCTTGTTATCTAATGGACCTTCTCAGCTTCTGATCCCATGGGAGGTATAAAAATCTTTACCTTTGACTAGGCTATTTACTCAACTCTGTAGAGAAAGCTATGGCACAGAAAAGTTCCCCCATCCCTCTTTGGCAGAAAGAACAAACAAATTAACATCCGACAGATAAGTAACTGAAAAAACCAAGTTAGATACATGTGGAGAGAATGGGACAAACAAGGAGGTTGATATCCTGAGGCTAAGGGGTCTGTGTCAGGGAGAAAGGAGGGGGTTTCCCCGCTTAAAGGGTGGGGGATGTCTTCATATGACAAAACCTCATCTCTAGATGTTTGCCCTTAAGATAGGTTTTCCTGATAAAAATGTTATTTCTTGAGATACCCCTATATTTAGGTAATCGATATTCTGAAAATATTGATGGATTCTCCCAAGGTTCATAGGGCCTTAATTGACTTTAGTTCTACATACCAAGATGACACATATTAGAAAAGGCCTACTATGGACATCTTAGAAAAAGTCTGTCTAAATATTTTAGGTAGACCAGCCCTACAATATTAACTTACAAAATTCTAATGTAACACAATGTTTTCCTGTCATTAGCAATGCATATGATTCCTATTCATGGAAATGCAAATGAATACAGTCTATAGAGAGTATAAATCATCACAAATCTAATTCTCATTTCAGCCAGTTAGTAATTCTTACTGTTTCCCTCATTAATTATTTAAAGTCTTTGATACATGCTCATTTACATATAAATGAGTCATGATTTTACCTTTGAAAATTATCTTAACAACAGTTAGATGTTTACAGTATTAAGAAAAATTAGTACATTTATGTTATTAGAACATAGAAAGCATAGAAAGATACAGCCCTGGAACTTTTTTAAAAGAGGAAAATAAAAATTGCTCTGAAGAGTTTAACTACAAAATTAGTATATATTCTATTAGAGTAGGAGTATTCAAAACCACATTTAAGCCACAGAATAGCCTGTAGGCCAGTAAGATTTGCCCACAGCTGTATTGTGTCAATAAACATGGCTTAAAGGAAAAATATGTTGATTAGAAAAATATTGGGAAGGTCTGAGAAAAAAGCAAAAGTGTCAAGATTGCAAAAAAAAGTAGCACCCATTCATAGAGGGTCTAGAAAGGAGAACAATGTCTGAAATCTGAGATCTTAGCAGCATATATATTCCTTATGGTCTACCAGCCTTTCTCAAGACAGAGCTATTAATACTTGCATCATATGAGACAGAAATTATACGATACTTATGTTTTACTCCCTCTAGTTTTCCCCTTCAACTTCCCGCCCTACATTTTATTCTAGTATAGGTTCTGAGTCTCCATTGTCTAAATGGAAATTTGTGACAAGCAGAAAATCTAAATTTTCATGCAAGTCATTTCAGTCTTGGTTTTCATACCCAAAATCAGAATCCCAATGAGAAAATGATACCAAATTTCTAATGTCCAGAGAGATTACCCAGACTTGCAATGCTATAGAAAAATTAGGTATCTCTTCATTCATGAGAATACGTGTGATTTAAACTGATCAAATTTAAAGAATTAATGAAATGCCAGGAATTTTGATCTATACCTGCCACGTGTTCCTTTTCTTTACTAAGCTACACTGCTCCATGACTTTAAATACACTTCGTTGTGATTCTACTCTTCCGATTAAGTTCAGTTAATTGTAGTTCATCCTAGGAGATGATTCTGTTGAAAATTAATATCGAAGTATGTAAGCGATGAGGTTGAGATTTAATTCATGGAGAATTCATGAAAACAATTCTATTTAGAAGTTCCTTGGGAAAGGGGTGCTTCATTTGCTTTACAGAATGGGCACACTCTATTATAATGTTTTAGTGACATAAATCATTAAGTTCATTTGTTTCATATTGACACTCAAAATCCAGGTTATTCAAGAAAAATACCTACCAGAATAAGGAGACATCTGATTTCATTGTGAATTCCCCAAAACCCAAGAGACAAAGAAGGACAATTGCAGATCCAGTTCCAATCAAAATTCGGAAGATATGTATTATCACGTGATTATTTTCATCTGTGAAACCACAAAACATTTATTATCAAGTGATGAGTTTTATTTTTAATGATAAATACAGAAATCAAGGTTTCTCTAAGAAGCTGTTGCCGATCCACTAGGAGTCTCTCTCTTTTTAAATATCATTCTTGCATCTCTTACTCCTAGCAAAAACTTCTGTTCCTTTAATGACAGGATAAAGAAGTTCCTCAATCTTAGAAGATCTCTTCACCTTTACCTCATCTTCATTATCTTCTACAAAAGAAGACAGTATTTTCCTAGGGTGAACTCCTGTATGAGTTACATACCTAAAAATATTTATGAATTCATTCATCACAAAAATTTTTGAGGACCTAAGATATGTGGGTTAAGTTTCTTTTATTATGGTTAATATGACCCATTAATTATCTCCCTATCTAGACTGGGATGTCTAGACTAGGGGCTATACATCATCATATAGTCAACAAACTATTCAATTCTTAGTGTTATGGTATATATTGTAGACTACTAAATTCTCAGCAAGTATTTGGAAAAAACAGGAAGATTAAATATGTCCTAGATTTTATGGGAAGACATTGGACCAGGCAGTGCTGGAGACAAGATGTTCTGACTCATAAAACTAATTGTTAAATTTTTACAAAATTTGAAAGCCAGCTCAATTCACATTGGCACATTGAAATCAACTATTGTGGGAGTATTTAAACCATGGAAATTGGCAAATACCATAAATTAAGACTCCCCATCACTGAACCAGTTGAATGTTTCCCAGCACACCACTGGGCACAGGAGCACCAAATATAGTTGGAGATGTGTCGATAGGTAAGCAAGAGGAGTACTGAAGAGGATGATATCTGTGTTTAGGCTTTAAATCATGATTGGAAATTTTAACTTGAAATGGTGAAAGCATTCGGGGACATAAATGTGCACAGAGTGCCAGCTTTGCTGGCACTTACAGTGAATGAGACTGGAAAAGTTTCCTTTCAAGAGTCAAATTAGGGCCTCCCGGGTGGCGCAGCGGTTGAGCACTGGGTTGCGAACCTGCCCGAAGCCTATGCAGGGCCGGTTACACCCCCGGCTGCTCCCCGGCCACTGGAGGAGGGTCCCACATGGCCCGCAGACCTCTCCTGCCGCCCGCTGCTCCCCTCAGCAGTGTACTTTGGTCCTCCTGCCTGTTCTGCTCCCCACTCTGGCTCTGGTGAATTCTCTCACCCTCCTGCGCTTCTGACTGTACCCAGTGCTTGTATAAATAAATAAATTAATTAAATAAATCTTTAAAAAACGGAAGAGTCAAATTAGGGCCATTTAGAGTGCTGTTTTCAGTCTTGCTCACTGGAACTAAGCTCTATAAGAACAGAAACCTTATCTTTATTGTATATTATTTTCTCCTCAGTTCATGGGGTAATGTCTAACATGCAGAAGTTACTCTAACTATTTGTCCTATAAGTAAATAATGACAGCTAAATTTACATTTTTAATTCATTATTTCAGTGGCATCTGAAGAAATGAGATGAGAAATGAGATCAAAGCACAAGGCTACTGGAGGCTATTAACGTGACAAATAGATGGGGACTGTACGAATGGTGTTCTTACAAATGGAGAGGTAAGGAAAGAATAACTTAGAAAGAAGTAAACCAATCAACACTTATAGATGAAGAAAAGGGGAAGACCCAATGTTTCTTGCCTCAACTTTTTATTTCAATTCCACATTCTGAAAACTTAATAGCAGCTCCACTAAGTGTTTTAAATACATGGTTAAAAAAGTGCGATGTAATAGATACATTTCAGATTACCTTTGCAAGGATTCCACCCAAGCAAGTACATTAAGACTAGAATTATCTCTAAAGTCCATAATGGAAAGAAAAAAAGAAAAGAATGTGACTTTTGTTCCACCTTAATTACTACTTTATCAAATTAGATGCTGTGTGGGAAGTGCCTAGCCCAGTGTCTGGGATATAGCCAACACCAAATAGGTAGAAGTGGTTGTTGTCATTATTATGAAGAAGGGAAGGGGATATGAAAAGGAAGACTTTCATAAGATCTCCACACATCCATTTCTTCTGTGTACACCCCTAATGCAATCAGACAACATGAATACTTTTTCATATGCAAAGTAGGAAAATAAGAGAATAAAGATGCCAGGCCCTTAGGTCTAGCTGAAATTTAACTAAATTATTCAGTATTTTGTAGCACTTCATTTCATATTACATTTTTATCTAGTTTTCTTATTCCTACAGATTTTTCTTACTTGAAATCCACTAAGAAATATGGCTGTACAGTAGACACTTTTTCCCCCTATATAAAGTTATTTTTCAATTATTTTATTCATAGTTTGGAAAAATAGTCTCCCTGCAACTATGTTGATGGTGAGTGTAGATGGTAAGTAAGTTTTAAGCGAAAATATTTAATTTGGGCATCAAAACTATAGTAATCTGAACACCATTATCTTTTCAAATCTGCAATGTATAAAGATTCAGAATATCTCTCATCCCTCTTGTCCAGTAAAAGTTTTAGCTCTCTCTCCCCAAATCTCTCCTCCTTTATGGTCTTGGACTTAAGTCTATTATTTAATAAACTGTTTCTAAAACCAATTGACAACGGCCAGAAGGAAAATTGAACAATACTTAATGAATTTTAGAGAAATACTGCCACCTGCTGATTAAATCATGTATGCAATTGTTTAAAATTGCCTTTCTTCAGAGAAAACCAGATACATACCTAAAGCTGTGAGGAAATTGTCTCTATCTAGTAAAAGCCATGTGCCAAATCCCATGAGTAAAAGTCCAAGAGCCTGCAAAAAAGAATAGTCAATCTTTTATAGTAAATATCAATAAAATTGCATCACATTTTCTTTACTAAATAATTGCAAAGATTCTTACCAAGAAAGCTCCATTCATCAGATTAAGAAAGTATTTTAAAAGTAATGTCTTTTTTTTCGCCTTTAACATCATTTTCTCCCTTGATATTGATGATTCTGAAAAGATAACCACAATGTTTACTATCAAAACCACAGTAACAACTTTAAATAATTCTGCCTACTTAAGGCTTTCATTTGCACATTTTTCTTCTTAAACCATTCATCAGTATAACATTCCCAAACCACCTTCCTGAAAATAAGGGCATGTTTAAGATACCTTGAAATTGTCTGTTTCTATCTGTACTTGTTTCTTTCTCTGAATTTTTTGGGGCTAGATAGTTGACATCAAAAGGCATTTGTATAGAATGTCAATAGCCCCCTGGGTGAACATGCAGTTTTCAGAAAGTAAAACATTTTGTTTTGAGTCTTATCGTACATTGTTTTTCTTGCTGGAAAGTTTTCTTTTACTTCTATCTTCCAAAATATTCAATAATATCAGCTCTTTATTGATGTCTTGCCTTGTGAGTTTTGGTCTAACCTCAATTTGCTGTATGTTCCCCTTGATTTGTCTATCTTCCTAAATAGGCTCTGAGCTCCTTAAGTAGAGAGACCACTATAACCTCAAAGGGTGGCATATCATAGATATACGCAATAGATATTTGTTGAATGAATGGATGAAATGAATTATTTAATTAGTTTGCAATTTAGTTTGATATACAATGTAAGGAAAAGAGTTAACTTCAGGTTATTTTAATTAAAAATTATTTTTGAGACAGCTAATATTCCTAAAATTTTTCTTTAGAAAAATCAACACTTATATCTTGGTTTTTGGTGCTTTCATTTTAGGTATTAAAGTTTAAAATTTTCTTAGGCCTGTTTATAACTTTTCTTTTTTCTTTCATGGTCTCAATTCTAGCTAGCACCATATTTTTAAAAAATGGTTTACAAATTCTAATAGTGTATGAAAACAGATATAACTCATTTTAAAAAATATATAAAATAAAATATTAATTAAAAAAATAAGACTCATTTGAAGCTAACTATTTCTAATTGGGAAGACAGCAATCTGCTTGTTGAAGGATAACTTGAAAAATGGAAAAATAAGAGATTTCTAAGTTATAACCATACCCTTCCCTTCCTATTTTGATACACAGCCACAGTCATCCCAAAAACTCTTAAGGTTCTTCTTCCCAGCTGAAGGAGTCTTTCCAGGCTTTGTCTTCTACCCTTTGCTTTGAACCCTCCTGTTGTCTTTTACTTTCTCTAGTTTCATCCTCTACTTTTATTCATAGATTCCTCCAGTGTCTGGGTTGTTTTGATAGGGCACACAGATGGAACTACTGTTTGATTTTTATTTCAGTTTCTCCCCATGATGCTGTAGGTATAGTTTTTGGTTTCAGTTCTATTTACTGCAGCATATGAGAAAGTTGCGAGCCTCTGCTACAATCTGACTGAGAATTTAGGCCCAAAGTCCTGGTCTCCATAAATAAGAAAGACAATGTACATAAATACTCTGCAGTAACTCTGGTGTGTAATGGTGAAGGCACAGACTTGACTGTTGACTTGGTATTAGCATAACTGGCATGTCAGCATCAAAGCTATGCTTTATTCAAGGGCCCAAATTCAAAAATAAACTGGTTTGTTTCTCTGTCAGTCCAAGTCGGGTAATGGGTTCACTTCCAGGATATCTTAGGAATTTGGGGCTTGCTCTTGTCTGTTCAATGTATAGCTCACAAGGTGTCATCCTTTATAACCAGCAGAAAGGAAAGGAAGATGAGTAAACTCAGGCAAGTATCTTTTAAGAAAATTAACAGAAGTTGCACATTTCTTTTCTGCTGATATTCCATTGGCACAGACTTAGTCACATGATGATATTCAGCTGGAGTTACAAGCAATGATGCACTCAAAATGAAGGAGAGAAGTAAAAGTAAATTTGGGAGGGAGGGGCTAAGCAAAAAGTCCAACAGTAAGGAAAGGGCAGTTATGAAAGATAACTAGAGGGAGAAAAAGAAGACTTGAATATAGTTTTGATAGGCTTCATTATGGAAAACAAAAAATTCAAGTTTATCAGAAAGAACCTTATAGAACTGGAGAATAAAAGAGTATTGGTAACTACTGGAAATAGGAAAATTGGGAAGGAAAATTTGGAAAAGATTCATAAATTAAGTATTTAATAATTGAGTTTGAAGTTGTAGGATATATCTACATTGTTAAGCACTGGAAATGGAGTAGAGATAAATGGACAGGCTTGAATCACCCATAGAGACTTGAGTGCAGACTTGAGTCACATATAGAGATAGTTGATGTGATGAAATGAATGGTGGAGAAAGAAACTGACAGGATAAAGAAAAGAACAAAGGCTTTATGGTGAGGAACAATAAAATTCGAAATTAGGATGTTTTAAAGTAGGGCTGCTGAAATAAAATACTACAGACTGGGTGGCTTAAAAAAAAACAAAACAGAAAATTATTTCTCACAGTTCTGGAGGCAGGAAGTCTGAGATTAGGGTGCCAGCGCTGCTGAGCCAGAGTCCTCTTCCAGGTTTCAACCTCTTATATTCTCATGTGGCCACAAGGGTAGAGAGCTCATGTGATCTCTAAGACTATTAATCCCCTTCATGAGGCCATCACCCTCATGACCTAATTATCTCTTAAATGTCCCACTTTCTTACACCATCTCACATTGGGTTTAAAAATTCCAACCTGTGAATTTTAGGGAGACACAAGCATTCAGTCCATAGCAAGCAGCTTAAGTTAGAGTTAGAACACAACAAAGGGGGTATCTAAGCAACAAGTCAAAGAAGGTCATGTTTACACAGAATGGTAAGAGGAGATGGGCCTCTGCTGGCCTTTATTGTCACAAGCCACACATACTGGAAACAACCTCAAATAAGATGTGCTAAAACAAAGATACACAAGTTAGAGCAATTCCTATTTAAAAATGCAAAGTGTGGAAGGTTTATATCTTTCATTACAAAAAAAAATAATTTTTTCTAACTTAAATAAGATTCTGGAGTGGCATTTCTTTTCACTCATTTCCTGATTAGTTAATAAACACGCCAATGGCAGAGATTCACTTTAATAGAATAAATACTCTGAGAATTCACCTATTCATGAGTGTTACCTTTCACTAAATGGTGCCCTGATTACTTTTTGTTATTGTTTTTAATTTCCTTCTAAGATGGGAACACAAAAATGAAGACAAAACACCATGGAGTCAAATATTAAAACCTGTGCTCAACTCTGAATTATGTGTTGGGGTTGAGGGATAGGAAAGAAAAGGGCTGGGAACTTTCACATCGGAGATGAATTTAAGATGATTCTTGAACAATGATTAAGAAGGCCCTAGTCAGTCAAAATTGGCATAAAGACAAGAAGTATTCAAGACAGTTGGAAAACTGTTCACAAGCTTTTACAGCGAAGTGCATAAGGTCAGAGTTGCAGATGAAATACAAGGCTGGAGAAATATCAATAGATTCATTAAAGATTAGGAAGGATCATGTATGCTTTGCTAAGAATTTTTTATTTTCCTGAAGGTTAACAGGGAACCATAATTCTGTCATCAGTGTAAAAGTCAAATTAGGAAAGGATCTTAGGATAGGGAGATAATTACAGAGTTAATGCACTAGTTCATAAGAAGTAAGTGTGGTCAAAACTGCAAAATGGCTGTGTAACAGTATTAGGATATGAGGTAGCAGGAAATAGAGTTGTCAGCACTGGGATGGTAAAAAGGCAACGATGATACTGGTGCCCAGGTCAGAAGAGCTTAAAAGTTTAAGCTATTAATGTTATCAATATTCTTTATCATTTGTACAGATACACTTGATGGTCAAAATTTTGCAAATTAAGTGTCATTATGATATTATCCCCGGTATTATAAAGAAGAAATGAGACTCAGGAAGGTAAAATTCTTCACCTGAGGTCATCAGTTAATATGTGGCAGAGCTGAGATTCAAATCCAGACGTGTAAATCACTCTTATTAGCCCTTCCAAGCCCCAGTGTCACCATCTGTAAATTTAGATTATAACAGCATAAACTTCAAGGGATGTTGTGGGCATTAGGGAGATTATGTTTATAAAGCACTCAGTTCAGTGTCTGGTTAAATGTCAGCTATTAATCTTGTCATACCACATTTTACTATAGAAATACTAAGATTACGTATAGAAATACTAAGACTATATAAGAAAAGTATGAGTATGGGAATCTGAACTCTGGAAAGGTTATGGGGTCTGAAGTAGCTGATCACAACTGTAGCAGGAAGAGAGCACAAAGAGAACAGAAATTGAAGTTCAGGATAGTCTTTAAGTAGAAAGAGAGAAGCAGAGATCTTAGAGTCCAATACTATGGGTCACATATTAAAAAAAAAAAAACAATTACCATCAAGAAAAAGAAACAAACAACTGTGATGCATTTATTTGAGTACTACAATGATATTTTGGGATATTTAATTATATCACCACCATATGATGAATAAAACCACTGTTGAAGAATGTTATTAAAGTAATCCCACCAATCAACTAACATTCTCAAGGATTGACTTTTTTTCAAAAGTCCTAGGAGCAAAGTTCTCTTTCATCCATTCATACCCTCAACAAATATTTATTATTTTACTCTCAACTGAAAATATGTTGTGTTACCAGTAGGCTATAAACAACCAGACTCTAGATGCTTTTCAAAATAAGAGCAAAATTTAATGAAAAAAAAAGTTATTTATGAAAAAGAAAAAAATATTATGGACAAAGTCTACTTGATTTTAGACTATTAGTACCAGGAAGATTAATTAAATTAAAAAGATTTTTGGTAAACACTGCATAGTTAACCAATAGTTTTATGTTAAATAGACTTAGATCTATAACTATTCAAGATCATTGTTGTACTTCTTCTTTAATTAGTGATATTAGTTAGTGATAATAATGGCTAATTGCTAGCATTGTCAGTTTCCTTCCAAAGTAAAAAATAACATGAGACTATAAGAGCTGTTGTAATATTTACCACAAATTAATGGTAATTTTTACTATGGTAAAATAGAAAAACAACTTTCAATAAAATTCCATTTCACTATCAATTTATTTGACAAGATAAGCATTAAGAAATACAGCAGTTTACACATCATCTTCAGACGTGTTATTACTAAAAAATTAGAACACAGGAAAAAAGAAAATTCCAAATGAGTTACTAAATTAGCTTTTAAAATTAGTTTTAAAATTAATTATTAATGGTTTTGATATTTTTAGCAAAAGCCTGAATAGTTGCATAATTACAAATAAAAATATATCTTCTTTAAGATTTTTACATTTGAATTTCAGCATGGTGGTATGAGCATTTTAAATGAATAGTTTATAAATCAGCAATACATTTGAAAAAAAAACAAAAAATGGGATTTGAGCATTAGTTTTGATAATAAAAACATCTTGAATTAGATCTGAAATCAGGAGTAGTTTATTTTTGAAAATCATTATCTTTCTTAAAAGGGACACTAACCTGTGTTTTTCTTTTATCAAAAGTCTGCTTATTCTTCATTCAAAGTTAACTAGTTCTTCTGTTGATACAAGTTTATAGTTACCAGGAAATACAAGGTGTTTTACAAAGACTCCATGCATTGTTTGCTTTCAGGTTTTTGCATATCAGATATCTTCTACCATTACACTACTTCCTCTTGGAATTTAATGCATTGTTTGCAAACTTTAAAACATTAAAATCGGTAATATGTTACTTACTAAAATGAAATTTCAAGGCTCCAGAAAAGAAAAAAAGAAAAGAAACTGATGAATTTTTAAATTAATATTAAAAAGTATGATATGTACTTAGAAATTCAAACCTTACATTACAACAGTGGTTATCGCCGTCAATAGTTTATAGTAGGGCCTCCCCGGTGGCGAAGCGGTTGAGCGCTGGGTTGCGAAGCTGCCCGCAGCCTCTGCAGCGCCGGTTCGATCCCCGGCTGCTCCCCTGCCACCAGAGGAGGGTCCCGCATGGCGCGCAGACCTCTCCTGCCGCCCGCTGCTCCCCTCAGCAGTCCCGTACCTCGCTGTCAGCTGTACCTGTCCTTCCTGCTCTGCTCCCCGCTCTGGCTCTGGTGAATTCTCTCACCCTCCCGTGCTTCTGACTGTACCCAGTGCATGTATAAACAAAACAAACAAATAAAATAAATAAATAAAACATGCCTCTAAAAAAAAAAAAAAAAAAAATAGTTTATAGTAAAGCATATTTCAGAAAATAATTCCTTAAGTCCCTCACCCACACATCTATTCCCTTTCAGGATTTTAATAGCCATTAAGTGATAATTGATTTTTTTTTTAAAGAAACTGTTGTCATGAAAAGCAACTTACTGGTTTCTCTTTCACATTTTCAGGTCCCACAAATCACTATTCAGAATTAAGGTTTTGTGGAATAAAAACAATTCAACCTTCACTAGAGGCAAGTAATAAATATACACAGCTCAAAAACAGTTTAAAGGCCAAACCACTCTGCTTGGTAACTGTAACAACATGCTGTTTGTTTCTTAAATTCTTCCCCAAATCACTTAAATATTAAAAATGTACCAAAAAAATCCTTAAACAACCATTTAGCTTGAGAGACACATTCATTCCCATTGCGAAGGGAACGAATGAAGGTAGTTTGTCCCAGTGCGGCACCTGTAAGGAAAAGCCATTCCATCTTCCTCCCTATTGGCTGTTGCCGTGGCTACACTTTGTTTGGAGGCTCAGGGCGCTGCCTTCCTAACCAAGCGGAGGGAGTTGAAATGCTGGTGGGTGAGCGGGTGCCCCCCACTGCCGGGGTTCGGGTTGGGGAGGGGAATGAGGCAGAACTGGGCGCACAGACGGCCGAGTCCGCCCACTCCCGCCGAGGCCGCACTTTGGTGCAGAGGGAACCTGGGCAGAGGGGCTGGCAGCGGAGTCACCGGAGTTGGAGATACTGGGAATTCATGCACACTTGAGGATGAGCCGTGAAGGTTGAGGGGACTCTTGATTACGCGTATTTCCCACCCAGGGTTACCCCTCTTTTTCCCCCTTCCTCCCTCCAGTTCCCTCTTCCCATTCTTCCTTCGTGGTTATCTATCCAAGTAGATTTCCTTCCTTTACCTTTCAGTGCTTGAAAGTGGAATACTTTAAGATGTGCCACCTTTGGAAGCTGTAGCCAATTCCAGGATTTATTATCAATTTGAAGTAGTGACTGTAACCCACTGAGCCCGGCTTGTGTCTGGGGCTGCACTGACCTGTCTGGAAATCTTGAGCTACAGGCAGCTGTTGATGGAGTGATCAGGCGGCTAGTCTTGTTTGAAAAGGATTCCAGGCGTATAATGCACCCCAGATTTCGAGGAATTGTGTAAAAAAAAGGTAAACTTTTATGCTGATTTAATAATTTTATATTGATTATGTATTGGAATAATATTTTGGATATATTGAGTTAAATAAAAATGCTAAAATGAATTAGAGCTTTTCTGTTTACTTTTTAAGATGTTGCAACGGAAAATTTAAAATTACATATCTGCTCCAATATGTCATTGATCTGGAGAATCAGTAGATGAACAGGGACTCATGTAATGGGAATAACTCCTTATGCTGTTCTCCTGTCTTTGTTTTTGTTTTTTGCACGTAAAGTTTTGCCTACCTGTGCATTCTGCTTTAAGCCACATTAAAAAGAATTCTAATTTTCTACCTAAGAAAGCTATTGAATTACACTTAAAGTTTGAACTACAGGAAAAAACTTCTGGTGCTTTGTTGTTGTGTTTTCCTTTGGAGGAGGGACTTGAGTCTATAGAAAAATTAAAAAGTAGTACATATTGGTACTATATCAGTCAACATCAAGGTATGGTATGGATTGAAAACTTTCCCTAATTTCTTACAGAATTTTTCTATTTGCATACTTTTCTGCAACTTAATTTTTTTCAATTGTTCCTTCTTGGCTACGTGTCCATGACAGAGCAGTAAATGTACTGTTTTTTAAAGAACTTGTATTTCATTCATGATCCATCATAATAAATTTAACTGTTTTCTTACTGGGTGTTTAAGTACCTTTAATTAAATGTTTTTGAAGTAACTGCAGATTCACATGCAATTTTAAGAAAGAATACAAAAATATCCCTTACATGTGTTGTCCAGTATTCCCCAATGCTGATATTTTGTAAACTGTAGTATAATACCACAATCAGGATATTGATATTGATACAATACAAATCCTATTCAGATTCCCTCAGTTTTTCTTATACTAATATGTGTACATGTGTTATTCTCTATACAATTTTTATCAGCTGAATACTTCCAGTGGCCCAAGGATCTCTCGTGTTGCCCTTTTCTAACTATAACCAATTTCTTCCAACCTCACCCACCCCAGCTCCTACAAATCATGAATCTGTCATCCATTTATAAAGCTTGTCATTTAAAAATGTTATATAAGTGCAGTTATACAGTATGTTACCTTTTGACGAGCTTTGTACTGCAATGTACTCAATTGCAAATCATTCACACATGTGTACATATATACACGATTATAACTGAAAAGTTTTTTGAAACAATTCTTGAGTATATATAATTATTTCTTTCTGACCTAGCCTATCTCTTCCTCTCCTTTCCTACCATTATAACTAGTTGATCAAGAGCCACTACATTAGTTTTTTTTAAAGATTTATTTTTTATGTATACAATAGCTGGGGTACGGGCCAGAGGTGCGGGAGGGTAAGAGGATTCACCAGAGACAGAGTGGGGAGCAGAATAGGCAGACGGACCGAAAGCACTGCTGAGGGGAGCAGCGGGCGTGACAGGACAGGACTGCCTCTCCATGTGGAATCTCTGTGGCGCTGGGAATCAAGTCCGTGCTGCAGAGGCTGCCCACAACCTCACAGTGCTGTGCTCCCCGGGTGTACCACCAGGAGGCCCTATATTATTTTTTTTTTTTTTTATGCACTAAAGGTTTCTAATTTGTAGTCTGAATATTGGATTAGTGGATTTACAGAGGTATTGCTGTTCAGATGGAGAGCTTGATTGTGTTTTCAGAACATTTGATAGTGGGGAGGGCAGTAGCGTTAGGATCCTACTCTCCCTTTACTTATTAGTATATGATTATGGATAATTAAGTAATTATTCAAATCTTGGTTTTCCTCATTTTACAATGACTGTAATTTCCTTTAACTTGTTAAATTACTCTGAAGATTATCAATCACACAAGTGTCTTCTAGTGCCTACTTGTCACCATTACTTAAAATAACGAGGCTAATGATCGAGTTTCTTGATGCTGATGATTATATGATAATGTTTACCATTAAATGTTAAACATGTATGTTCTGTTTGTCCCATATCCACTACAAGCATTGCAGATTTAAATGAAATAAATATTAATCTTATAGGTTGTATATGATCTATCAATATATTATGTTATTGTTGGTAAAAACATATGATTGCGGGCCTCCCCTGGTGGCGCAGTGGTTGAGCGCTGGGCTGCGAGGCTGCCCTCAGCCTCTGTAGCACCGGTTCATTCCCCGGACTCTGGCGAAGGTCCCACAAAAAAAAAAAAAAATCCATATGATTGTATAGTCAAATTAACAAATCTGAGTAAAATGAGTAGACACTAGCCATATGTTTCCCCATACACAGACTCAGATTGCTCTCTCATGAGTATTGTAATTTGAAGATACAAGCTGTTCACAGGTATTTTGCCACTAATTATTCCCATGAGGATGAATATTACCAAGAAGTTTCTTTGTTCAGGAAAGTAAGGCAGTATATTCCATTTGACTTTTCCCTTAGAGAATTAGAAGAATATATTGAGTTGATTATTTTGTAGTTAAATATTAAAGGAAGGGTAGAGAAATAAACCAATGTTGTATAATATGTTACAACCATAATAAGATGTAATAAAAGTTTGTTAGCTAAATCTTGTTTCATAGATCATGTTGGATAGGTATGACACCTTAAAGAACTCAAAGATTTTACCAGAATACTAGTCTCTTCATTTTTCTTTAAATGATCCTGTGTTTTATTATGAATAAAGGATGATGGAAGACGATGATGATGATGCAAAACTCAAAGAAGAAATAGAAGCTGAATTGAATAAAATCAGCATATCTTCTTTGGAAAACGATGTTGATAGTGATTCAAAATCAGAAACCCAGAGTGATGATAGTGATACAGTAAGAGTTGGATTTTTATGTCTTTTAACTGGGGTATCTGTTCAGGTGAAATATTACTTTCCTTAGTATGTTTTACATGCTTTACATGTTTCCCCACTCCTTACCCTCTCTGGTACCTTCATTTCTGCAGCTGGATTTCCCAGCATGGTTTTACTTCAGTCTTGTCTGTTCCTTTGTTTTATTTCTTTACATCACATATGAGTGTAATCATCCAATATTTGTCATTTGTTCTTCTGGTTTAGCACTCTTGGTATGATACCCTCCTGTTCCATCCATTATAAGATGTATATATATATATATATATATATATATATATATATATATACATATATATATATATATATATATAGTTGTGTGGTATTTTTAACTGTGTATATATACGACATCTTTATCCACTCAGCTGTCTTTGGACACTTAGATTGTTTCTATAACTTGGCTGTTGTAAATAGTGCTATAATGAACATAAGCGTGCATATATCCCCTTGGATTAATGTTTTGATTTATTTGGGTAGATACCTAGGAGTGGAATAGCTGAATCATGTAGTTCCATTTTTAACATTTTGAGAAACCTCCACAGTGTTTTACATAGGGGCTGAACCAGTGTACATTCCCACCAAAAGTATACGAGGGCTCCTTTTTCTCCATACCTTTCTTCTCCACACCCTCTAACACTTATTGTTTCTGGTCTTTTTGACATGGGCCATTCTCACAGCAGTGAGGTGGTATTGCATTGTGGATTTTGATTTTCATTTTTCCCTGATGATATGTGATGATATTTTTATGCACTTCTTTGCCATCTGTATGTCTTATTTGGAGAATGTCTATTGATCTCGTCTGCCCAATTTATTTCTTTAGTTGTTTTCCTTTTTGTTGAGTTTTTTGAATTCTTTGTAGATCTTGAATATTAATCCCTTGTCAGATGTATGTTGTATAAATATTTTCTCTCAATTAGTATGTTACCTTTTATTTTGAATTTTGTTTCTTTCAATCATAGTCCCATTTGTTTAATTTTCTTTTTTTAAAAAGATTTATTTATTTATGCATACAAGAACTGTGGTACAGGACAGAAGTACAGCAGGGTGAGAGGATTCACCAGAGACAGAGTGGGGCACAGAACAGGAGGAATGACTGAAATACACTGCTGAGGGGAGCAGCAGGAGAGGCGGGAAAGGTCTGCTGCACCATGTGGGTAGCTCCCTGGCTGGGGATCAAACTTGTGATGCAGTAGCTGTTGATAGCTTCATAGGTTGTGTCTTGGCCCCTTGAGCCACCAAGGAGGCCCCCATTTGTTTAATTTTCTTTTGTTTCCTTTGACATTGCTATGGAGTCCAAAATGACATTACTTAAGATAACTTCACGGAATGTTTTTTCCATGTTTTCTTCTATCTACTTTATAGTTTCAGTTCTTACATCCAAATCTTTTAGTTTCTTTCACTGTTCTAATTTTTAGGATTTAGATGACTTACCAGAATCAGTTCTTCACTGCATTAATGTCATAAAGAATAAGAGTAAAACTGCTGAAGAGCTCATTCTTCAGGACATGGAAGATACTGATGTTTTAAGTAAGTACAATTTTCATCTACTTGGCAGATAAGTTTTCTGTGGATATGAACAGTTTATAATTTATAACAGTAAACTACTTAAATTTCATTTCTCTTATTTTATACAGGTGTACATTTATCTTTACTATAATAGCTATACTACTTTGTACTGGTTATTTCTTTGTTTACCTTGCTACCCTCCTTATGTTTTTTTTTTTATTTTGAATTCATTTATTATTAATTAAAAAATATTTTTCCAACCACTGTATGACAAACTTTTCAACATGTTCAAAAAAATCAATCTGACACAAATTTTAAAATTACATTCACATATTCTAGAAAGAAATGGACCCTTAGGGTTTTTTTTTCCTCTGAATTTTCTTTTTTTTTTTTTTTTTTAGATTTGCTTATTTTTTATTTTTTTTTTAATTTTATTGTTATATTCCCCATACAATTGCAGCCCCCCCATTCTGACCCCAATCCCTCCCCTCCCACCCCCGCGTCCCAAAAAAGTGTCTCTGGTTCATAGTATTTTGTTGATTTTGATTTTCACTTTCTTATAGTTATTCATTTTCCTGGTCCCTTATTTAAGTTTTCTAGATTCCTGCTATGAGTGAGACCATCCGGTATTTTTCTTTTTCTTTTTGGCTTATTTCGCTGAGCATGATCCCTTCCAGCGCCATCCATGTTGCTGCAAATTGCATGTGTTTATCTTTTTTGAATGCTGAGTAATATTCCATGGTATATATGTACCACATCTTCTTGATCCAGTCATCTATTTTTGGGCATTTGGGTTGTTTCCAAAGCTTAGCTACTGTAAACAGTGCTGCTATAAACATAGGGGTGCAGGTGTTCTTTGGAATTGATGTTTCTGTGTCCTTTGGGTAAATACCTAGGAGTGGAATTGCTGGATCATATGGAAGCTCTATGTTTAGTAGGTCCAGAAATCTCCACACAGCTTTCCACAGTGGTTGGACCAGTTTGCACTCCCACCAACAGTGCAGAAGAGTTCCTTTTTCTCCACACCCTCGCCAGCATTTGTTGTTGCTAGTTTTTTTAATATGTGCCATTCTCACTGGTGTAAGATGGTATCTCATGGTAGTTTTGATTTGCATTTCCCTGATGGCAAGTGATGTTGAACATTTTTTCATATGCCTGTTGGCCATTTGCATTTCCTCTTCAGAGAAGTTTCTTTTTAGCTCTTCTGCCCATTTTTTGACTGGATTATTTTCTTTGTTGTTGTTGAGTCTCATCAGCTCTTTGCAGATTTTTGTGATCAGTCCTTTATCATTAGTGTTGGGTGCAAAAATGTTCTCCCAGTTGGTGGGGTTTCTCTTTGTTTTTGTTATTGTCTCTTTTGCTGTGCAGAAGCTCTTTAATTTGATGTAGTCCCAGCTGTTTATCTTTCTCTTCACTATCACTGCTTTGGGTGATGTGTCTGTAAAGATGTCTTTGATGTGCAAATCCCGTAGTGTTTCGCCTATATTTCCTTCTATGTATTTTATGGTTTCAGGTCTTATGTCTAGTTCTTTAATCCATTTTGAGTTGATTTTTGTGTATGGTGTGAGGTAGTGGTCAAGCTTCATTCTTTTGCATGTAGCGACCCAGTTTTCCCAGCACCATTTATTGAACAAACTTTCTTTGCTCCAATGCATAGTCTTTGCTCCTTTGTCAAAGATTAGTTGACCATAAATCTGTGGGTTTATTTCTGGATTTTCTATTCGATTCCATTGGTCTGTATGTCTGTTCTTGTTCCAATACCATGCAGTTTTGATGATTATGGCTTTGTAGTATAGTTTGAAGTCTGGGAGTGTAATGCCTCCATTCCCTTCTTTTTTTTTCAGGAGAGCTTTGGCTATTTGGGGTTTTTTGTGATTCCATATGAATTTCATCAATAATTGTTCTATTTCTTTGAAGAATGACATTGAAATTTTGATTGGAATAGCATTGAATCTGTATATTGCTTTTGGAAGAATGGCCATTTTAATAATGTTTATTCTTCCAATCCACGAGCAGGGGATGTCTCTCCATTTCTTTGTGTCTTCTTCTATTTCTTTTAACAGTGTTTTATAGTTTTCTTTGTATAGGTCCTTTACCTCTTTTGTTAGATTTATTCCCAAATATTTGATTTTTTTTGTTTCAATAACAAAAGGGATGGTTTTTTGATTTCTTCTTCTTCAGATTTATTGTTTGTGTATAGGAAGGCTACTGACTTTTGCGTGTTGATTTTGTATCCTGCCACTTTACTGAACTGATTGATGAGTTGAATTAGCTTTTCTGTGGAGTTTTTGGGGTTCTCTATGTATAATATCATATCGTCTGCAAATAGTGATAGTTTGACTTCTTCTTTTCCTATTTGGATTCCTTGGATGTCTTTCTCTTGTCTTATTGCCCTGGCTAGGACTTCCAGTATTATATTGAAAAGCAGTGATGAGAGTGGACATCCTTGTCTTGTTCCAGATCTTAATGGAATTGCTTTCAGCTTTTCACCATTGAGAATGATACTGGCTGTTGGCTTGTCATAGATGGCCTTTATGATGTTGAGGTATGTTCCTTGTATCCCAAGAATTTCAAGGGCTTTTATCATGAATGGGTGTTGCACTTTGTCGAAAGCTTTCTCAGCATCTATTGATATTATCATATGGTTTTTATATTTCTTTTTGTTGATGTGTTGGATAACGTTGATTGATTTTCGGATGTTAAACCATCCTTGTGCCCCTGGAATGAATCCTACTTGGTCGTGGTGAATTATCTTATGGATACATTGTTGGATTCTGATGGCTAAAATTTTATTGAGGATTTTTGCATCAGTGTTCATTAGGGAGATTGGCCTGTAGTTTTCCTTTTTTGTGTTGTCCTTGTTCGGTTTTGGTATTAGTGTAATGTTGGCTTCATAGAACGTGTTTGGTATTGTCCCTTCCTTCTCAATTTTTTGGAAGAGTTTGTGTAGGATAGGCACTAATTCGTCTCTGAATGTTTGGTAGAATTCATTTGTAAATCCATCAGGTCCTGGGCTTTTGTTTTTGGGGAGGTTTTTGATTACCATTTCAATTTCGCTGCTTGTAATTGGTCTGTTTAGGTGTTCTATTTCTTCTTTATCTAGCTTTGGGTGATTGTAGAGTTGTAGGAATTTGTCCATCTCCTCTAGATTGTTAAACTTGTTTCCATATAACTGTTCATAGTAGTTACTGATTATTCTTTTGATTTCTGCTGTGTCCGTTGTGATTTCTCCTCTTTCATTGATGATCCTGTTTATTTGTGCTTTCTCCCTTTTTTCCTTTGTGAGCCTGGCTAGGGGTTTGTCTATTTTATTTATTTTTTCAAAGAACCAGCTTTTGGTTTCATTGATCTTTTGGATTGTTTTTTTAGTTTCAATTTCATTTATTTCTGCTTTGGTTTTTATTATTTCTTTTCTTCTACTGGTTTTGGGGTTTTTTTGTTGTTCTTTTTCTAGATCTTTGAGCTTCGAGATTAGGTTGTTTCTTTGAGTTCTTTCTTGTTTCTTGATGTGAGCTTCTATTGCTATATATTTTCCTCTTATTACTGCTTTTGCTGCATCCCATACATTTAGGATATTGGTGTCCTCCTTGTCGTTCAATTCAAAAAATTTTTTAATTTCTTCTTTGATCTCCTCATTAGTCCAGTGGTCTTCCAGTAGTGTGGTTTTTAATCTCCATGAGGTAGGAAAGTTCCTTGCCTTCTTTTTATGGTTTATTTCTAGTTTGATGCCTTCATGGTCAGAAAAGATGGTTGATATGATTTCAATCTTGGTGTATCTGTTGATGTTTGTCTTGTGCCCCAGTATGTGATCGATCCTGGAGAATGATCCGTGTGCGCTTGAGAAAAATGTGTACTCCGTTTTTTTGGGGTTTAGTGTTCTATAGATGTCTGTTAAGCCCAATTGCTCTAGGTTCTTATTTAGAGCTTTGGTTTCTTTACTTATTTTTTGTCTTGTTGATCTATCCATTGTTGATAGTGGTGTGTTGAAGTCTCCCACTACATATGTGTTTTCTCTGATGTCTGTTTTCAGAGAGGACAACAGTTGTCTGATATATTTTGGTGCTCCTTCGTTTGGTGAGTATATGTTAATGAGTGTTATTTCTTCTTGAAGTATTGTCCCCTTGATCATAATGTAGTGACCATTGGGGTCTCTTTTTATCTTTTTGAGTTTGAAATCTGTTTTATCTGATATAAGTATAGCTGTTCCTGCTTTCTTTTTTGGTCCATTTGCTTGTAGGATTGTTTTCCATCCTTTAACTTTGAGCCTATTTTTATCTTTTGTAGCTAAATGTGTTTCCTGGAGACAGCAAAAGGTTGGGTTTTGTTTCTTAATCCAGGCTGCAACTCTGTGTCTTTTTATTGAAGAGTTTAGTCCATTTACATTTAGAGTTAATATTGATATGTTAACATCTGTATTTGCCATTGTGTTTGTCTTTCCTTTGATTTTATTTATTTATTCTTTTAATAACTTTTTTTTTTTTTGGCCTTCTTTCATTGTTATTCGTCCCTCTGAGGTTCTGGCTTTAGGACTCCTTGTAGTATTTTTTGGAGTGGGGGTTTAGTTGCAATGAAATTCCGGAGTTTCTGTTTGTCTGGGAAGGTCCATATTCTTTCTTCAAAGAGGAAGGAGAGCTTTGCGGGATAGAGTATTCTTGGTTGGCATCTGTTTTCTTGGAGTCTGTTGACTATGTCCCTCCACTCTCTCCTTGCCCGTAGTGTTTCTTCGGAGAAGTCTGATGTCAGCCTGATTGGCTTTCCTTTGAATGTTATCTGTTTCTTCCCTCTTGCCAGCTTCATTATTTTTTCCTTGTCCTGGATTCTAGGGAGCTTTACTATTATGTGTCTTGCTGTATTTTTTCTTTCGTCGTGGAAGTTTGGTGTTCTTCTTGCTTCTTGTATATCAATTTTCTGCTCCTTCTTCACATTTGGGAAGTTCTCTTCAATTATCTTTGAATATTTTCTCTGTTCCTACTTCTCTCTCCTCTCCTTCTGGTATTCCTATAACTCTTATATTTCCTTTCCTCATGGAGTCAGATAGTTCCCGAAGTCTTTCTTCATTCTTTTTCCTTCGTACTTCTCTTTCCTTTTCTGTTTTGGTTCTTTTTATTTCTTTGTCTTCAAGAGCACTTATTCGTTCTTCCATTTCATCAATTCTGTTTTCATTGCTTTTCCCAGAATTCTTTAGTTCTTCCACTAATTATTTGATCTCCTGCATTTCTTTTACTTCCCTCTTTAGGGACTCAAATTCATTCTTCTGATCATTGATTATTTTTCCCTTATCATTGTTTTCCTTTATGACTTCTGTCAGTTTTTTAATCACGGCAATTTTAAATTCTCTTCTGGAAGGCTCAGAAGTTCTTCCAAGTTACTGTCGTTGCAATCTGGGGGCTGGTTTTCTTTTTGTGGTGTGCTTTTTCTCTGGAGAGTTGCTAGGTTGCGTGTGGTTCTTCTCCTCCCTACTGTCTGTTTTCTAATTTGCCGTATGCGTTGGGACACTGTGTTGTTGGGACTGGCCGGCATCTTGGGTGGGCTTCTCTGCTCCCCTCTGGTTCCTCCAGGAGTCATCTGTCAGTTTCAAGCAGTCTTTATTGGAGAAAGGTCCCTGTCCTAAAATGCCGATGTGGGGACACACTCCCCTGTGCGCCTGGTCTGCCCCAGCAGTGGGTTCCTGTTCCCCCTCTGGGCTTGGACTGCAGGCCAGAGGGGGTCTGACGTGGGCGAACTTCCCCTGCTCACCTCTGGCTCCTGAGGAAGCCTTGTGCAGGTAGTCTTTACTGAAGAAATGTCCCTGTTCTAAAATGGTGATGTGGGACACACTCCCTGAGCGTCCAGTCTCAGGCACACTCTTCTGCGCGCCTGGTCTGCCCCGGCTGTGGGTGCTCGCTCTCCCTGTGGGCTCAGACTACTTGTTCGGAAGGGGCCCGGTGTGGGCTAACTCCCCAGCTGGCCACTAGCTCCTTCAGGAGCCTGTGCTGGCTTCAAGTCGCTAGGTGGCGCCAGAGATCTCTCCTAGAGCCCTTGGGGAGCTGATTTTCCACCCCGTGGGACAGGGAGCAGAGCGGGGATGGTAGGGTACACCTCAACGGCTTTGGGGTGCTGTGTCTGCCTTGTGCCCCACCGTCGTGGGGAACCCACGCCCCTAATTTCGTGCCCCGGGTCTCAGTTCCAAAGCCCTCAGTTCCAGAACGCGGGCTGTAGCCCAGTTCAGTGGCGCGGGAATGGCGCCTTTTGCACCGCTCCCGTGCCTGGACACCTGGTTCCTGCTCACTCAGGGAGGGACCTTCACCTCAGTGAGGACCTCCGCGCGTCTCCCCGCAAGCCTAGGTCGTCTCCCAAGCCTAGGTCGCAGGCTCGGGGACCTGGGCTGCCGCGATCCCGGTCTGCACTTGCTTTTCAAGCGCACCGCTTTCCCGCGCAAGCTTACTGGCAGCCCGGGCTGTGTGTGCGTCTCCCGGGGTCTTTGTTCTTCTCTAATGGCGCCCGGAGCCGTTCGCTCACCGCCGTGGCGAATCCTGCAGGGTTCGCCTCAGCTCCCGTTCACGGGGTGTGGTGGCTGCAATAGTTCCTTTCCACTCACAGTCCCGCTTGCTGCGTCGTTTGTTCTTGTGGGCCGTTTTGGTTTGTTGTTTTCCTCCTCTCTGCGGGTCGGAGAGTGCCGCCTCTGTGGGTGGGGGAGGGGAGCAGGGTTCTGCGCTTCCCTCCCTTCTAGTCCTCTTTTATGGCCACTTTCTTCTTCGGGTAGTTTGCTGGAGTCACCCGTTTATCTTCCGTGTCCCAGTTCTCACTGGGACCTGCCGCTTTTCCTCCCTATTAACTTTTTTTAATGGGAGATCTTACTCGCAGTGTCTCCTCGCCGCCATGTTGCTCCGCCCTCTCCTTATGTTTTCAATAAATACTAGTCACCAACATTTTGTTTCAGCAGGCTTCCTTAAAACCAGATGTTTTATTATATAACATCAAATAAAATAAAAGTAATTATGGAAATATTTTAGAAGTATCAATTTATAAATCTTTTTTAGACAAAATAACAATAATTTATATCAACACCATAACAATTTCTATTGCCGCAGCTGAGCAAAATTTGCTTGGAATTATTCTAACATAAGTAGCACAAAGATTTAACTGGAATTAATCATGTCTTGGGCTAATGATTATCACATACAAAAGAAAATACAGGCTAATTTTATTTATGAATTTAACTATATTGATCAGGAGCCTCAGTTATAGACAATAGAGACTTACTTAAGCAGTAAGATTTCTGGGGTGCATTTGTATTTTTATGGGTAGAGTAGATATGCTAATTATTGCTACAACACAAGCTGTGTTTTAAAATAATTTATTGATTAACTTAAATTTATGTCCACTCACTGGGCTTAGCTAGACAGTTCTTGCTTGGAATCTTATGCATTTACTGTCAGGTGCTGATTAAGGGTAAAGCCTTTACTAGATTGGAATTCCAAGATGGCTCACTGAAATGATTGGCAGTTGATGCTAAGAGTTGGCTGGGAGTTCAGTTGTGCTTTCAACTGGCTGGCATGGCATCTGAATACTGAGAAGACATATTCTATGAGCAAAATGCTAAGATACTGAGGTAGAATCTTGTAAGCCTTCTTATGACCTATTCTCAGAAGTCATGCAGCATCATTTGTATCACAGCCTGATGGCGACAAAAGTCAGCTATGTTCTGTGCAGGAGGGAAATACACATGGTGAACATACCAAGAAGTGTGGGAGAGACATCTTTGGATACCAGTTACTACAATTAATAACAGGATTGTTAAAAAGAATTGAAATAAAAAACAGACTCTAGGTTATATCCAAAGTGTAAAATATATGCACACATGGATTGTATACTTAACTGCAGCAGAACTTACTGTTTAATAAAATTAAGAAATTTAGAGGGGTCCTTCTTAGTGGCCTAGGGGTTAAGTCTCAGTACTACCACCCCTGCTGCCTGAGTTAAATCCCCAGCCAAGGAGCTAATCCATACATGGCCCAACAGACCTCTCCTGTTTCCCCCACTGCTCCCTTAGGAGAGTATTTCAGTAAATCTGCCTATTCTGCTCCCCACTCTGTCTCTGGTGAATCCTCCGACCCCCAGACCTTTGGACTACATTAAAGTTCTCTGCACAAAAATAAATATAAGTTTAATAAATAAATAAATACAAAGAAATTAAGAGACATTAATTATCTACTATACAATCATAGAGTGTGTAAGTGTATAGTAGAATTTCTGTATCATGGTCTGGATCAGAAAAATGAAACTATTGCTCTCTGCTCTCTTCACACATATTTTTTATAAATACAATGACATAAAAATTATCAACTGGAAGAACCTAAATCACCTTTTGCATCCGAGCTTCAAGAGAACTTAGAGAATGTTGTTTTTACTTTTCAGTCTCTTCATAGGAAAGCATGCTAGAAAAACTGGGACTAGGTGTTGAGGAAGCATATCTATAATATCCAGCAAAATAGGTTTGAATGGTCAGTTAACCTGCAGAATTATCATTTGTAAAAATAGTTCTTCTTAGGAAACATTACCACATTAATTGAAATAAAGGTAAGAAACATACCTACATCTGCAAAGATAATAAAAAGACATTTTGAAGTTCAAAAAAGTTATAAAATAAGGAATGAAAGTTCACTTTATTCACAATTTAGTAATTTTAACTTTTAAATTGATGTTTTTATTAAATTTTCAACATCTTGTTCAAGATTATATTGCTGTTTTGTATCTGGTAGATTTAAACATTTGTTGACTTCTCCTGAAGTATTATTGTAATATCAAACAAAGCTGTATTCTGTGCAGATGAAAATTAAATTTCAGTTTGGAATGTGAAAGTTAATCAAGTGTTACAGTGATTTTAAAATTTTGTTACATTTATTTTTAGAATAAAGATCACAGATTTCCCCTGTTTCTCTCTTCATTTATTTTCTGTTGTTTTGAGTTATTGATCAAGAATCTACAGGTAAAGTTAAAAGAAAACATGTTGGCAGAATTTAAGATGAAAGGATGATGAAAGTGTTGGGGATTTGAATCTGTTGTACTCTACTCTAATATTTAAAATTATATTTTTTCTCTCCATAGGCTGTAGTTATGGAGCAGTTTCTAATGATCATATGCATTTAAGGATAGAATTATCAACAGAATATAAAGAAAATCCAGAACCATTAATGAAGGTATACATCTAGGATTTGACTGAAAGTGCTTCGTATTATACTTCAAAAAATTATTTTTCCTTTTAATGTAGGATGATAGTTCACTGATTTAAAGTTCACTTATTTAAAAACAAACAATGATGTAAAAAATAAAAATTAAAAAAAAATAAAAACCATAAAGTTCACTTATTTAAAAATTTAATTAAAATGCAGTCATAAATAGAATATGGTTTTATTATGAATATAGCTTTGTTTGCATAAAGAGAAAAAATTGGTGTGTTATAGATTTGAGGCAAATAAAATAATACGTGTTTACTTAGTATTTTATTAAAATAATGGCTTTACTCTCTATTTTGGTTTTCTTTAATCATTGGTAATCTTTTCACCTATTAGATATTATCTGAAATAGAAAAAGAAGAATTTCTAAGAAGTAGGACCCATTGTGACAGTCCTGATTCTGTTCCAGAGTTGGGTCCTCGTGATTTATCTGTGAATGAACAGACTTTGCCAGGTAGGCTAAACCACCAGTGATGTTTTTTTCTGTGACTGACCACATTTATCTGAAAAAAAAATTATGTAGTTTATTCTCTTTTTCATTTAGAAAAATATAATCACAATATTTGAATATTATTGTGCTTTTTACAATACTTATTTATGTTTCTGCATAGTTTTCTTTATGCCTCCTAAATTATCTTTATTTAAATATATTTAAATTTTTCCGCATATATAGTTGCCACAAAAGATTGAATTTATTAATATCCCTTAACAACATTACTTAAGTATTCCTTCACCACACATATATATATGCATACACACTATACTTTTATGTTAAATTTTGTGGAATAGTTTAAGGCAAGTTATATAATGTCTTTATTGAATGTAGCAGAATTTAAGAATACATTTTCCTTTTGAATATCATCATTTTTATTAATGCATTAACATTATCTCTTCATTTTAAAATACTTTTATACTTTACATTGGATGTCTTTTGACAGGTTTGTTCTTTTTTTTAATTTTTTAAAATTTTTTGTTTATTTATACAAGCACTGGGTACAGTCAGAAGCGCGGGAGGGTGAGAGAATTCACCAGAGCTAGAGTGGAGAGCAGAACAGGCAGACTGACAAAATACACTGCTGAAGGGAGCAGTGGGTGCCAGGAGAGGTCTGCGCGCCATGTGGGTCCCTCGCCGGCAACCGGGGATCGAACCCGGCACTGCAGAGGCTGTGAGCAGCTTTGCAGCCCAGTGCTCAACCGCTGAGCCACCAGGGGAGGCCCTTGACAGGTTTATTCTTAAAGTATTATTTCTCTTCATGTGTAGATGACACTGATATAAATTTTGGATACTGTGAAGTGGAAGAAAGGTGTAGACAGTCTTTTGAGGCTTGGCAAGACAAACAGAAAGAACTAGAAGACCAAGAGAAAGAAGCTCTTAAAGCTCAGAGGGATAAAGAAGAAAAGGAGTTTCAAGAAGAAGAGGAAAAGAGATATTGGTGGATGAAACAATTTGAAGTTGAAAAGAAGAAATTAAAGAATATTCAGAAGGTAAGGTGGTTTTTGTTTTTCATACATTTTTTAAATCAGTAGCTACTTCTGGACAATGTTGATGTTTTGGTGTATGATATGGTTCAAGCTCTGTTCTATGGCTTTTAATTACTCCTGAATATGGGAAAATTGACTGGATTAATAGCATGCAACATGAACTACTTGCTTAGTTTTCATTGAAATGTATTTAATTGCTTGAATAAATTGCTTGGGATCTTGGGGTCCCCTAGAGTTTATGAAGTTTACAAGATTGTCCTCAAAAGACTGTCATTTACACCATAAACTATTGCTTTTATATTCCTTTCTATAACTAGAAAAGGCGACACAATTTTCTTGATCATGCAATGTCCTTGTTATGTGATTTTATACATGTAACACATTATGTAGAACATATTTAGGTTGAAGCAGTTCAACCCTATAGGTCATAATCTGTACATCACTTCCATACTACGTCTAATTCCTTGATTAGAAGTCTTGGGGGTGTAAAGGAGATCTGTATTGGTTTATTTTGTTGTTCTACCCAGCCTCATGTCATTGTACTGGCATATTGAGAAATTGGTAGATTTTAGGACCCTACTTGTGAGCCAATAGGATCCTTAACATGTTTGAGTATCAGGTAGAACTGGCCTTTGTGTCCCACATTACTAAAATTGACTTGTCTATCCCCCAGGACTTTCTAGTTGTGAGTCTTCCACACAGAGAATATTAGCATGTAGTCACTCAGATAGTTTAGGACATTCTAGCCCTTTATGTTGGGTACATTGCATTTTCTGATTATATAGAAAATAAACAAATTAAAGGCATTTATACCTGCAGTGCCTGTTTGCTCATGACTTTTTCTAATAGTAAACTCTGAATCTTTAAATTTTCAGGCCAGATTAATTGATCACTCCCAAAAGTCAGAACTTTTTTATTTAATTCCAGGACAGAATTTGAATGTAATATAGACTATTAAAGTAGAATTTACTGTCTTGTTCTGAAATGCTCATTGCTATCGATTGTTACTAGCATTTTCAGATTTATATAACATCTGATTTTTAAATACTGTTCAGGTAAGTTGTCATATTTGTTTTATAACAAAAATTTACTGACTACCTGAAGGGCAAAGTATTCAGCTGAGTGCTTAGATGATATAAAAAAAAAAAAAAAAAAAAAAAAAGCTAACACCTGGGCCCTACCCTCAAAGAACTATAACTTAGGTTTTGAAAGTAATTATTATTTTATCATAAAATTTTGACCTAGATAATATTTGACATTAGAAAATTAAATGCATTCCTAAATGTGCTTAATTCTGCCTTGGAGTTTGAAAGTTTTCCAATATGACCATTTCCATAATTTTATAATTATAGATTCTTATATGTAATTTACATTCATTCATTCATTTCTGGTCCTTTATTTGCTTCCTCTTCTATTCCCCAAAATAGCTATTGTAAATCTCTTTCCTTCATTGTTCTTAGTCAATCATTATTTGCAAATGAGCACTTAATATTTTTCACAAATTTCTGACTTCCACTTTTTTCTAATCCTATTTTAGTTAGTATCATTAGATTTTAAAGCAGACTAAAATGTCTGCTTAGCCTCTTGAAAGTCTAGTCAGTCTAGTCATTTCAAATGTAATTGTCTTTGTGAAACCTTTCATTATCTTCTAGTTTTAGTACCTGTCGCTACTATGCTTCTTTGTAGTTATATCTTCTGATAACCTTATTATGCTAAATGTGGGCTACTGTGTGAACTTATAATAACATTCCCATATTAAAGGTAAAGTTTTAGATGAAGGGAAATATATTTTACTGATTTTTTGTTATTCTTTCTTGTATCTTTGTTATTCTGAAGTACCTTAACAAAATAGGTGCTATTAAAGAGTTATTAAAGAGAAAACCTTTACCCACTGAAATTATTTATTAATAAATTAAATGGGATGGTGTGGAAAGACAAAAATTTAATAACAAACCATTTTATAAACATATTATTTATGATTTTTGCATTGCCCAACGTTATTTCCAGTCAGTGTGTTTTATTCTATAAATAAATAAACTCAGATAAATAAAACTATTTTTCCAGGTTGCAAGCAAGTATGTAATGGAAGTGGGAAACTTAGGTATGATTTATGTGATACTTTAGGTTGAGATTAAAGTTATTATCCCCATGCTAATAACCGAGGACTGATAGTTGTTTTCTTTACCCATTGTTCATAAATATATATTGTAAGAATCATATAGAATAAATATAATATTATTTGATATTTAAATTTAGCAATTCATTTTTATCATATGTTCAGCAAGAAGAGGACAGGATGAATGATGAACTCCATAAAGAAGAGACAATGTGGAAAGAGAAAGTTAAACAGCATGAGGTATATATTTGTTGTTTTAAAAATAAATTACTGTGTTTGAAACAAATATTTTAAAATAATATTGCCTAGCTAATGTAGCATTTAATTTACTAAAGCATTAAAAATGTTATTTATAATCATTAGCTCTTCTTGAAGTAGAATGCCCTGAAAATGGAAAAAAAAAAAAAATGCTTCCGTGAGTAGATACGTCTTCATGATTTTTTTTTTTAAAAGATTTATTTATTTATGCATACAAGAACTGGGGTATAGGCCAGAGGTGTAGTGGGGGAGAGGATTCACCAGAGTCAGAGTGGGGAACAAAACAGGCATATTGACTGAAATACACTGCTGAGGGGAGCAGCGGGCACGACAGGAGAGGTCTATTGCACCATGTGTGTAGCTCCCTGGCCGGGGATCGAACTTGTGCTGCAGTGGCTATGGATTGCTTCATAGGTTGTGTCTTAACTCCTTGCACCACCAGGGAGGCCCATGTCTTCATGAATTGTTATTCTAAAGCTTCTTTAAAGTGTTGGAGAAACACACTATTTTGAACATTTCATTATGATTGAAGATTATTATGAAGGATGGCTAAACTTCTTGTATTTCCTCAAATCTTTTATTTATATAAAACATACTCCTAAAAATTTAGGTTTCTAATGTCCATTTTTTTAACTGAAATATGATTGACATATCATATCTTGTATAAATTTAGGATGTACAACATATTTATTTAGTACAGCATATATTAATATATATATTTATATTGCTGTCCATATTTAAATTAAAAAGCCAATTAGCCATGTGAGGAGACAACTTACCTGCAGGTAACCCAAATGTTGGAGTTAACAGTGCCGTTAAAATACCTGTATCATGCAATAGCAAAATGGTTAAATAGATAGATGATATGAAAATAGAATCTATAATGAAATATCAAGTATATATTATAGAGTTGTTGAAGAATTCAATATATAAAATTGAAAATCAGTAGATTAAGCTTGATAGTATGTTTGACTCAGTGATGAGAACATTAAGGAAACTGAAGCGAGATCTATAAAAAAATCCAAATTAAAACACAGAAAGAACAAGAACTAGGAAAATAAGAAATCAGCATAAGAAATATATGTCTTACATAAAAAGATAAAAAAAATTGTGTATGATAGTATCATAGAAGGAGAGAAAGAATGGAGCAGAAGCAATGGATAAAGAGGTAATTAAATTGAATTGACCTGTTTTTAAAAAGTCACTTGTAAGCATTCAAATATAAGTAATCATTCCCAAGTAGAATCAATACAAAGATAATTAAAACTAGGACTTTAATAATGTGATTGAAATTCAAGACAAGAAGAAATATTTTCAAAACAGTCAGGAAAAAAGACTATCTTAAAAGGAGCAACAGTATACTAATAGCAGATTTTTTAAGTGAAATGAATAAAGAAAGAAGGGAGTAGAAAAAAAAAATTAAGTGCTAATGGTTTCACTGATCACAGTATCCTTTGAATATAGGGTCTTCCCCTGCTTTCTGGATCACTATTCATTTCCTAGAGTATATACCTAAATACTTGCTTAAATATGTGTTTTTTTCTAAGAATATTTTCTTCATTTTAATTTTTATTTTGTTTAATGGCTCTTTTCTCAGAAATTATTCTTCCTCTACTCACTATTTTTCTGTTATACATCATATGTGTTAATTTTCTTCAAATATTTGCTGAATTTTGTTGATCTGTTTACCATTTTTCTTAGGACTCTATTGACAATGAAATTCTCTCATAACCCTAACTCTAAATTATTTCATCTAATGCGTATTTCATCTAATGCAGGATAAGATATGTGAGGCTGGTTCATTCTGTTTGTTCTTCATATGTATATTCTACCTGGCTTACCTGGTATTGTAAGTGTTACAAAATCGTTTCCTGTTTCCAGAGTCCCCTTGTTAACTCTAAGAGTCTCCTTTATCAGAACTCCAATCCCAAAAAATCTGAAGTCATTTTCCTACTCAGATTTTGGGTTGTAATTTCTCTTACTTTTTCTGTTTCATTCTAAGTGACTTCATTATGACTGTAGGTTTAGTATTTGTTTTCAATTCTGTATTTTCAATGACATTTTAATGATGATTATTGCATATTTAGCTTATGCTATTTATCTTACTGTAGGAGTTTATTAGAAACCTGCATTTACAAATGGAAGAAGAAAGAACAAGATTTAAAGACCTACAGGAAAAAGAAAAACTGCGTTTGTTAAAATTGCAGCATAATGCAGCTGTAAAAATTCAAGCTAAATATAAAGCATTTGTTGTCTACCAAAAATATGGCCCAATCATAAGAGAACAAATAGAAAGTAAGAAAAGGAAAGCACAAGAATGGAAAGAAAAGGAAGCAAAAATACGACAAATGGAAGAAGAAAAACGAAAAAGATTAGAAGAGGAAAAAAGAATAGAAGAAGAGGTAAAGAAGCAGAAGCAAGAGGAAAAGAAAAGGAGAGAAAAAGACTATGAAGAGAAAAAGAACATTCTGAGACGAGAAAAAGAACAAGTACTAAACAAGGAAAAATTAAGATTAAAAGAAGAAGCAAGTAAGCAGCTGATAATAAATAGTATATTTAAGCAGGGAGAATATAATACCAAACATTTAACTGTTGAAGATATATCGAAGAATAAGGATAATATATCCAAAAAGCTAGGACATGAAAAGTCAAAGAAGTTGGAGCATGTTCCCCTTTATCTGCTTGAAGAATCAAAAAAGAAAGAAAATGTAGGTAGACAGCATGTATTAAAAGATTCAATACAAGAAAAAATAAAAGATTCTATATCAAACCCAACATTGTGGGCAGAATTTAAAATGGAAGAAAAAAATGAAAACCTAACAAAAAAAGAATGTTCAGAAAAGTTGGTTAAGCAAGAAAAAAAATATGAAAATGTGGACCAAAAAATTAAATTGATAAATCCAAATCTCAAAGAAAAAGTGACAGAACATTCTCAACTACAAGATTTAAAATCTCAAATACAAAAAGAAGAAACCATGAAAACTGATAATATGCAACTAGAACACCAAATAACATTAGTAGCTAATCAGGAAATTAACAAGGTGAAAAACAATGAAGCACAAAAAATAATTAAAGATAATCAGCAGAATAAGATACAAAAAATAGATAAAGAAGAGCTAACAGAACAGAATGGAACATTGTACGAAGGGACTATTTCAGTGATTCCAACAAAACAAAAACTGCCTCTAAAATCAGAAAATTTTGAGGATATAGAGAAAAATCTAAAAATAACAAAAGAAGAAATTAATTTAAAATCCAAAGAAACCGAAGACAACCAAAAAGGCGATGCTATGATAAATTTAGAAGACAAAATAAACAAGAAAGACTGTATTTTAGATAGAAATGCTCCTTCCGAAGATTTTGGTAGCTATAATGCAAAAAATTCTATGGTTTTTACAGGAGTAAATTTTCTTACATCTCAGAGTAAAGGACTTCCCGAAGAATGTCTTGAAAATGGACCTGAAAGCTGTGTGACCTGTTCCATTTCAGAGCCAGCACTTATATCTTCTATTGAAGAAAAGCGACAAGTTTGGATGAAATCATTTAAACCTTGGTTTGAAATTTCCAAGCAAAATCAACAAAAGAAAACTGTTAAGAAAAAGAGACCTATAAAATGCCCAGCCAACTTGATGCCTCCTTTGAATACACAAGAAATTCTTCAGTGTGGCCCTTGGCATACATTACAGCAGGTATTTTACAATACTTTTTTAATATTTAGTGGTCATTGTTTCTCTAAAACTTAATTTAAAAAATTAATAGAAGGCATTTTTTGTATCCAATAATTTTTTAGTCATTGAGATTGCCAAATGAAATATTGTCCCCGTTGAGAGGGGAATGTACTTAAAAGATCTCAAATTATTCAGGGTCTCTTCTCCTTCATTGAAGCACTATAAATAACTGATTTATATCGTGAAGCCTGTGCAAGGTCACTTTAGCTATTATCAATCTTCTAGGAGTGGAAACATATGCAAATTTTCAGTTGAATTAAAGAAAACTCTTGCCTTGATAGTCAAGCAGTTTGCTTTCCTCTTGGGTACATCGCCCCCTAGTGGTGATTTATGGAATGTATTGAATTTCCCTGTACTTGGTAGTGATAGGAAAAGTTGAAAACGGATGATTCCAGAATTTTTATGTACAATAGAAATGAAACTACTTAGACATTGTGCTATGTAAACATGGTGCATATATGCACGAAATTTGTAATTGTCCCAGATGCTACTAATTTTCTATGTTCATGGAGCCCATTTTTTTCAGTCAAAATTCAGATAGGAACTAACAGATGTATAGAAGAACAGGGAAGAATATCTCAAATAGTGCAGCACTGGAAAGAAATTATGATTAAAATGCATATCCCATCTTTATGAAGTTTGCATTATGCCTCTTCTCGGTTGGCTTGTCAAGGTGTCTTCATTCACCACTGCCACTGACCCATGAATCACTTTCTTATTTTGATTTTCTGATCTCTTAGCTGCTTATCTTTGTCCTTACCTTGAGCACCCACTGCCATCTTTGGAAGGTCCTTCAGGAGAGGACCTTTAGAAGAGAAAAGTTTATTCTTCTGGAATTTCACCCAGTAATGAATTCATTTTGCTTATATTAATTTCTCACTCTGAGCCTTCAAGACAGGAAACAGGTCTGCCACTTGTCTATAGTTGTTTGTATATTGACAGGTAAATAGTGGTTTTCATTGCATGAATGTGGGATGGGTGAGTGGGAGGATGGATAAATAAGTCTAACTGAATGTTAATTTATCTCTGTATTATTGCTGGCATTACAATGTAGGTAGTGTGCATTGATTATAAAGGAAATTAATATATGTTTTAAATAAAGTAATAACAGACCTTGTGTCGAGTACTAGCAGCACCCTACTTTTATTTCTGTCATTTACTGATTGTGTCACCTTGTGCAAGGTGCTTAATCATTCTGAACCTCATTTTGTTTTCTATAAACTGAGAAGAGTAATGCCTATTTTATAGGATGATTGACTTTTAAAATATTGTATGTGAAGAATATGTCCTTGAACTCCTAATGTATATAATAGTCATTGTTAAAAATGGCTCCCTTTCAAGCATCTGAAAAGAAAGAAAACGGACTGTTGAGAACTCCTTAATAGCCTGTTTCACCAAAGAATTGTAAAACTGAAGATATGTATATCATCCACCATATATAGTAATATCCAAACAGATGTGAAGAGAAATGATTATTGATAGCTAATATATTTTTCTTGGTTTTAATGTTTTAAATAATTCATTTTTCTTTTGATGGTATCTTGCTTTGTGATGATAACTTGCTTTAAAGAAAATTATAAAAAGTTGTACTAATCTTGATTAAGATGACTTGAACAACATTTCAGCTGCTGATTTCTCTTAGATTACAATGCAAAGTATAATAAACTGGTGGTGTGATGGCATATGGCTCCCTTGAATTCAGATTCTCTTTAATATGACTTCAGATTCAGTCTCTTTGCAGATGATTTTTTAAGCAATATCGTTTTTCTGGGTTACACAGATTTAATATTGTGACACTGAATAGATATTTGACAAAAAAGGAAACAGTCATTGCCCTTGTTACTTTTAAAATTACAGTTTGCAATAGATGACTGACTCTCTTTGCATTGAACTCAAGGATAATTGAGTGCGCTCTCTAAAACTGTGTTGCTATTTTAGGTCATACGGTAATACAAATATCTGTTAAGAATTTGGGGAAATATAGATGATTAAATGGAACAATGGTTTTTGATCTTTTATTAAAATATAATGAATGAATCATAGATTCTATAAGTGGAGCAGTTCATTTTCAAGTCTGGCAAGTGTGAACAATATTAATTTTTTAAATCATTTTTATTACTCTTCACAAGGGGAAGAAACTATGAATACTATAAATATATTTTTGTTTGCCAGAAAGCTAGAACAGTCCATTCATTTATTTAAGAAACATTTAGTCAATAACAGCTATGCACCAGTTGTTTTTCAGGCTAATCATGCGGTGATAAACATTCATGAGTACAAATTCTATATTGACCTTACTTTTTGGAATATAAAGCAGTTTTATTTGTGTGATTAATGTTATGCATTTATCAATGATTAATATAAAATTTATTTTGATATCATGCTTGTAAAAATCTAGGGTAGAGAAAACATTACTATATCATAAGAATATTTTTTACACGTGTAGTAAAAGGGAGAAGGAGATATTATGAAGTACCTCATATTCAAAAGTTGACGTGAACACCTCTAAGATTGTGATTGCATTCCAGTCTTCAAATGTCTGTATTAAGGGGAAAAATAGACACTGCTGTGTTTAACTGTTCCAATACATAAGTGACCTATCAGATATTTATGAAAAGAACGAGAAATTTTTGTTTCCACTCTAAAATTTGCATTCTGTAAATATAATGTAAGTTAGCAGACACCTATTTAGGGATGCTCACACCCCAAAACAATAAACGAAACCACAAAACTCATGTGCACACAAACACACACACAAGTAAATGTGGAAATTGCCACATCATTAGAACTTGTGCTTTTGTAGTTCGTTTTAGCAACATAGATTTAAAGCAGGAGCAATAATAAAAATTATAAGGTAGTGTAGTTTTTGTTATCAAAGCTGTGGTTTTTAAGTGCTTGACTCCAAATAGTATGTTCATTTTTTAGTATAGAGCAAGTTTTCCAACTACAGAATTTATAACATCTCTTTGTGGACAAATTAAATGGGCATCACATAGAAGTTATCTGAACTCAAATGGATGGATATTTTTCTTTCTGAAAAGTTATAAAAAGTACACGTTGCAAGAGTTGTTTTAGATTATGAATAATTGATAAATTCCTAAAGTAATTATGAAACTAGAAACTTTTATTTATCTGAAGCTTTAAAAATATTGATTATTGCATTTGTTACTTAAATCAAGGAGTAGACTAAATCCCTTCTTTATATCTCCGTGAACATATGGTCTTCCCATTCACTTAAATAAATATGTAAATTTAAAACTCTTGGCTTAATTTAATGCACAGGAAATGTTCCATATAAAGAGGAGTTACTGCACTTAAGAATTTTATACTTTTCCAACTTTTTCTGAAGGAATCTTTCAATAGAACATTTTTAGAAATTCTGTTTTGAATGATATATACTATACTCCTCTTATAAAGCCAATATTTTTAAATGGTTACTCAGTACAAGGGAAACCTGACAATAAGATTTTTGATGTGGCAATATGAAAGTATTCTTGCTATAACATGGTTTAGCATATATAGTTTATTTCAATGCATCAATTATAGTGAAGGATCAACTTATTACTGCATTATTCCTCCGCCATTTTATGTAGTTGGGAGCTCTTGAGTTAATAAGTGTAGTGCTTTTCACTAGTCTTAAAATATTTCTGTTATCTGACTTATTTTTGTAGACCTGTTAGTACAGTCCTTACTATTATAAAATTAAATGCATTATTTAACATTGAATTTTCTTTAGTTGAAAAAACTAAAAGAAATATTCCTTAAGAAAAGCTTTATGATGTTTTGAGTCTACAGTAACAATCAATAATAATAAAAACAGGGCCTCCCCAGTGGCGCAGCGGTTGAGCGCTGGACTGCGAAGCTGCCTGCAGCCTCTGCAGTGCCAGTTCGATACCCGGCCGCTGGGCGAGGGTCCCACATGGCACGCAGACCTCTCCTGTGGCCCACTGCTCCTCTTAGCAGTGTACTTCGTCACTCTGCCTGTTTTCCTCTCTGCTCTGCCTCTGGTGAATTCTATCAACCTCCGGTGCCTCTGACTGTCCCCAGTGCTTGTATAAACAAACAAACAAACAAATAAATAAATAAATAAATAAATCTTTAAAAAATAATAATAATAAAAACGGGTAGATGTTTGGTCTTCAAAATGTTTGAAAAATACAGAAAAATTATTCATGATTTATTTCCCCTGATACTCAAAATGCTCTGGATATAGTCATAATTCAGTAGTAAAGGATGATTGATATATTTATAATACAAATGCTTGTAACAGAATGTTTTTTGTATCACATAGTCAAATTATTATTGACTATGTGATACATAGTCAATGTGACTATGTGATTATTGACTATGTGATATTATTGTGGGGGTCTATTTATAAATGTTCTATAATATTTCTTCTCAAGCTTTCTTCTTTCTGGGAAGATAGCTGAGCTACCTAGTTGAAGGTTGGATGCAAAAATCTATTCCCTGACCTGTTATGCCTCCTGAGTCTATCCAGGTATCCTTAGGATACTGTCAAACAAAGATATTAACCATTCATGTAGTGCAATCCTGCCAAGAGCATGAAAAACAAGGGGAGTGAATTTGGTGGAAAACTGGGGAATGAAATGATAAACGGGCATATTATTATTACTATGTATATTACTTTTGGACTTGACTTGGTTGTCAATAATTATATTATTTTGCCTTCATATTGGAATAAAAAAAGAAGTCAGAAAGCTTAAATGAAATGGAGTCATTAATAAATGTGGAATTTATCAAGATATAGAATTACTTTTCCTAGATGAATTTGTCAAATACTTTTGTAAGGTGAATAGTGTTTAAGTTCACTTTTGTTAGATAAAATTATACACTACAATATTCTTAATTTCTCTAGGTTACAACAGTTACATTTCAAGATTTGCCAGGTTGTAGTCTTTCCACACTGGCCGAGTGTACAAATCTTCAGTTTCTGTCTCTTCAACGCTGTGGATTAACTAATTTACACAGCCTGAGCAACTGTAAAAAACTAAAGTACATTGATGCACAGGTATGTCCTCTTTTTATTATATTACTTTTCAATTGAGGTAATGTTGGTTTACAACACTGTATATGCTTCTGAGGTACAAAGCCCACCTCTTAAAATACATGTTACCACACCACACTCACCACCGAGGCCCCCGTAATTCTTCACCATAGTCCATTGTCCACCCTCCCTCCTTTGCCCTCCACCCACTCTGTGGTAACCTCATTTATCTTAAAATATAAATACATGTTTATGTTTAAGGAATTGACAATTTTTGAGGAAATTTTACTGAAATAACCTCTGTAATGGAAGGTCTCAAAGAGATGAAGGACAAAAACTTATGAAAACTAGAGAGGGAAAATTATCAGAGGGAAGATGATTAGGTGGTATGACCTGATATTCATTATATGCAGATAATGTAGCTACTGTTTTTGTTACTTTCTGCTGCATAACAAATGACCACATTACTTACTAAATTAAAACAACGACTATTTTATTTGTTCGTAATTCTGTGAGTCATAAATTGAGGCCAAGCTTTTCTTTTCCTTCATATTATGTTGACTTTGTTTTTTTATGTAATTTTAACTGAGTCTAGAAGGTTCAAAATGCCTTCTCTCATCTTTCTGGTGCCTCGGGAGCTTAGAAATTCAGTTTTTCTCTCTTTCTCTCACCCTCTCACCTCTCTCTCCCTCATTCTCTTTCTTGTTCTTAATTATCTTCAACTTTTTTATAGTTGGTCATACCCCAGAAGTAAGCTTGCTGAAGAGATAATCTCTAATATGCAAGTGCTTAGTGAGCATCTGTTTGCCTTATGCTAGCTAGTTTTCTGTTGGCCAAACCTTGAATGCATGTGTTGCAGACTGTGTTGTTGTGCGAATATTGGGCTGAGGTTTATTGGGGGCTAACAATCCACCCTCTGGCTCACAATGATGCACTTCCTTTCCACATCAAAAATATACTCATATCCTAAGTGCCAAGAAGCTTCATGAACTTATGAAATAAGGCTCAGACTTGAAGCACAGAATCTTGTGATTAATCATCTTCAAATGGAGGTAATCTGCTCGTGTAGTGTTTTCTCAGATATCTGTAAGGTAAAAAGCAATATATCTTTCCTAGCCTATCTTCCCACACATCAACATAGAAGACTTAGAAGACTTGGTCAACCACAATAGGCATTCCCATTCAAGTTGGGAGAAAACAAGAAGTCCATAGCAGTCCCTGGTCACAGCTAAGCAAATAGAACCTGTTCCTTAATAGGGACTGAGTTCTGCTTCATAGGAATGGTTCTCTGTCACTCTTGGTTCTGCCCACTGGATCTTTTTTTTTTTTTTGATAAAGATTTATTTATTTATACAAGAACTGAGGTATAGGCCAGAGGTGCAGGAGGGTGAGAGGATTCACCAGAGACAAAGCCGGGAATAGAATAGGCAGATGGACCAAAAACACTGCTGAGGGGAGCAGTGGGTGGGTGAGAAAGGAGAGGTCTGCTGTACCACTGGGGGCTTGTGGGGGGAGGGCTCTGCCCACTGGGCATTTGACTCCATTCTCAAGGCATACTTCCTTTTCCATAGCAAATGCCCTGTTTTGAAGCTGAGAATTTTTCTCAGCCTGTTTCTTTCCCATAGAAAATTGGGGGATAGAAGGATAGGGTAGGGTATTGAACTGAATTCAATATGAATTCAATTCATATTGAATTATGTTCTTTTCAGTTCAAAGTGACAGTGCTTCTACCAATGCAATTTCTTTTAAAACTTTGTGGGTGTTCTATGCTTTTTATTAAGTTCATGCTACTAGACAATATATTCATTCATATTTTTGAGAGGGATGTTGTAGGATTATACACTTCAAATTCTAATAAAGTCCCTATGTCTTTGTGAAGTCTTTTAAAAAAAAGAAATTGCTGTTTCACCCTTGACATATGATTTTGACACTGAGACCAATATTATATATTGAGGCATGCTTATGTGTAGTAAAAACATAAATTTATACTTGAAATATAGACCTAATTTATAACTTTGGTGCTCTTTGGAGAGGAAGGGGCAGAAGGGACAGAGGGTAGCTTGGAAGATTTCACCTTTTCCAGTATTTGTTTTTTTTTAAATAATAGTTTTGTATGAACTATGGTCAAATGTTCACTCTTATTCTATAGATTGATAGATTTCCTTATATGATCCTCTTTTTTCTATAGTTGAAAAAATTATGAATGAATACAAAATAAGTAGTTCTTTATTGGTTACTTAATAAATTTCATCTAGATAGTATAGCAATTAGCAATTGCTATACTAAATTTAGAAATTGTACATTCATTTAGAGATTGTATTTCATCCTTTTGGCAAGTTTTAATTATGTCATTAATAAGATTTTGAAATAAAAGTAAATATATTTGTTTTTTGTTTAGGAAAACCATATTGAGAGTATCAACTGTGAAAATTTGGAAAATCTTTGTGTTGTTCTTCTTAATAAAAATCAACTGACTTCTTTTCATGGTTTGGATGGCTGCACTAATATTCAGAACCTTGAACTTTCACATAATAAAATCACTCGAATTGGTAAGTACAATGGAATGTCAATATATATTTATGATTATATTTTGTTTTACTTACTGAAATATTGTATATTTCTATCATCATACCCTGTAATTCATTTAATTTAGCAACAAAAATGTTTTTTCTTGTTTGAGGCCAGTCCTATTCCCTACAAATATACCTTTCAGTAAGATCTCACGCCATCATTTATTCACGTCTTATGTCAAATTGTTCCTATTGCCATGCACGTCTACCATTGCCCCCTTTCTCTTGCTGTCAAGTTTTGTGAAAGAGAATTCTCTTCTTACTCTCTCATCTTATCAAGTTCCCTCTGCTACCCACTGCAGTTCAGCTAAAACTTACTTAACAGTTTCCTCTGTGATGATTATACACTAAAAAATCTCATCTTTTGCTACCTAGCTTATTATTCTTTTTAATTTTTGATGAATTGTGAGATTCTCAAGGGACTTTGTAGAACTTAAATAATGCTCAAGGATTGAATACGCAGGCTTGTCCAGAAAAATCAGGAATTTGTTTTAAAAAATTATTCTGGTGCAATACTAATAGCTTAAAATTTTGGAAACCCCAAAGATGTAATCCTTTCCACCATTTGTGACCCATAATCATTAGCATGTTTTTTGTGCTGTTGTTCTTTATCTTGCTTGTTTTCACCTACCAGAGCATTCTTTTTCCATGGCCCCATAGTATTTTATTATGTGGATGGATTGTTGTTTATTACATTGACCCTAAGTTGATGGACATTGAATGGTTTTTAATCTCTTTATATTGTGATAATGGCTAACATCTTGAGTCAGGAATGTGCCAGCTCCTCCCTGGGGACACACTGAGGTATGAGTCATAGAGTAGGTTTGCAAGGGAAGAGCCAGCTCCTCCCTGGGGACACACTGAGGTATGAGTCATAGAGTAGGTTTGCAAGGGAAGACTCTGCTGCTCAGAAAGCAGCCCTCTTGCTGTCTATTAGCAATAATAAACAGGTATGATTGTTTATGTGACAATGAGCAGGAGGAACAGGGTCCAGGGGAGACAAAGGGTAATTAGCATCATGTGGAACTGAAGGGGACATGTTGGCCACCTATACAGGGAGGATTTCCTGTGCAGGTTCTTGATGAAATTTCTGAGCTACTCCCAGACCACCTCGGACCATGGCCACACAGTTAGTCAGTGGCTACCTATATGTCCCCAGCTGCCACACGATGTGGGCCATTGTCTTAGGGCTATAATGCAGGGGTGCCTTTTTCTAAATCCTATGCATACACATGGGTGCACAGAGAGGCAGTACACACACAAGTGCAGAGAGAGGCCACATGGTGCAATACTAATAGCTTAAAATAAGCTACTTAAAATAGCTTAAAACCCCAAAGGTATAATCCTTTCCACCATCTGTGACCCATAATCATTAGCATGTTTTTTGTACTGTTCTTTATCTTGCTTGTTTTCACCTACCATAGCATTCTTTTTCCATGGCTCTAGTATTTTATTATGTGGATGGATTGTTGTTTATTACATTGACCCTAAGTTGATGGACATTGAATTGTTTTTAATCTCTTTATATTGTGATAATGGCTAACATCTTGAGAGGCCACAAACATGATAGCTTTTTCATTCCATTCTTTATCAGACATATCTTTACGTTAATTTCCTTTGAAATATAGAGTAACCAAGGTAAGGGTCAGGTGATGACAAGCTTAAAAACTAGCCCTTGAAAACTGACTATAGAACTGAAGCATGTATTGATAGATGGGAGTGAGGAGGGAGAACAAAGAAAGAAGGAAGAAATAAGGAAAGAAGGAAGAATGATGGACGATGGTGGTGGGACTATGGGTGATTTGGTGGTGGGTGCACTACAGTGGCAATACATAAGGCAGGGGAGGGTGTCCTGTTCTTCTAACAATAATGTAAGCCAATGTTACCTCAATTTAAAATAAATTAATTTTTAAAAATCCCTGTAAGTCAGGATTTCTTAAAAAATAACATAATTTCCTGCAGTATATATTGTCAGAGCAAAGAGCATCTGTAATTTGGAAGGTTAGTACCAGACTCCCTTATATAGGTTGTACCATTTTTGACTTTCACCACTAGTATATATTGTTACTACCATATTTTTCTGCTTTTTTTTGTACCTTATGTTGTTCTTTTTTTTTTTTTTCCCTTGAGTTATGTAGTTAATTCAATTATTTGTTCATCCTGATTACAATGAGTTGAGAGCAGGAATTCCTAGGAAGAGAGACTGGTCATGGCTAGATTACTCTGTGTGTGCTGTGCAACTTGGGGTGTGTGAGTGAGGTCCATCAGAACCCTTCTTGAGGGACATCCTCCCAAAGTAAAGAGCTGAAAATATAATGTATAATATTTTTTGATGTATCCTTTAGACTTTTTGTCTATGCCAGCTACTTTGGGACCGTACGTTACTTCTCCCACATGGAAATGCTGATATTTTGGATACAAATTTTTCGTACTAAAAATTTTAGCTTAAAATACATACAGAAATAATTTTGTTGTTGCTGAAATGAAGTACATTGATAACATATCTTACTATATCGGCACACTCCGAAGCCAGCTTTTAAAATAGAAAAAGGTTGTTTCTTAGAAGAAATGCTTGAACTCCCAACCACTTCATCTCCATTGTCAGCAATGTGTATGGGATTTTGAATAACTAGTGGATTTCCTGGGATAGGATATCTACAAGATTTATGTGATAACTGCCATGATATTAATTGATGTACCTGAGGTATCTCCGTGTAGTTCAGGGCAAACAAGGTAAAAAATGTCTTTGCTGTCTGTTCAGTACAATGAAAACACTGTATTTATTGAGTGTGAGAAGATGATACATGAGAAAGTAAATTTTCTGAAGACCATTTGGAGTTTGTTTTGGAGTCTGTTTTTCATCTTGAGGAACAAGAGATTCTGGTTGAGCTAAGTGAAAAGCATAGATTTTTGCCTTTCAATGATGTATTGATGCTAAGAACGCTTATGAAAGTGCACAAAGATAGATTTGTATTTATACGTTAATCAGTTATTCCATGCTATAATATTTCTTAGGGAGATGAAATAAAATTGGAAGTAATACTTACATTTGTAGTTCAAGTTTACTTTGCTCCTAATTCTTAACTAAGCTGCAGTTATTACAGTAGTAAATATGCAATGATAGCTCTAATAGAAAATATTAATGCACATATTTATTTGATTTTCTATGGGTTTAAGTAAGAGGGAATAGTGAATATTTATCTCTTTAAGAAAATTCATTTTAAATTAGTTTTGCTGAATGACTTCCATTCCAATTAAACTAAGGTAGAAAGGGGCACAGTGGACTATGATGGAGGATTGTGGTTGTCTTGGTGATGGGTGTGGTGTAGTAATAGACATGAAAGGTGGGATCCTTTATTTCTGCATCATATACATTGTTATAAACCAGTGTTACCTTAATAAAAAAATATGATAAAAATATAGTAATAGTTCTTATGACTGATTACAGTTGTTAGAGGACACAGAATTAAAAAAGTTTTCTCTTATTAAGAATGTATTCTATATAAAGTAACTAAACCAAGTCAAATGAAAATATGCTTAAAAACTAACCTTTAAAAGCTAAATACAGAACTGGAGCACCAGAAGTGAAGGAGGTGGGGAGGGGTAGTGAGAACAAAGAGCGAAGGAGGCACACTTGACTGTGGTGGTGGACTATGGGTGATTTGGTGATGAGCACACTATGTTGACAGTACCTGATGGAGGTATCCTAATATTATCTCAGTTAAAAATAAGTAAATTTGGGGGCCTCTCTGGTGGTGCAGCGGGTTGAGCACAGTGCTGTGAAGCTGTCTGCAGCCTCTGCAGCAGGAGTTTGATCCCCTGGCCTGCCAGAAAGCTATCCACATGGCAGAACTCTACTGTCTCATCTGCTGCTCCCCTCAGCAGTGTTTTTCAGTCAGTCTGCCTGTTCTGCTACCCACTCTGTCTTTGGTGAATCCTCTCACCCTCCCCAGCCCCCACATCTCTGGCCCACACCCCAGTTCTTATATAATTAAATAAATCTTTAAAAAATAAGTAAATGTAATATAAAAAAGAATATACTCTATAATCCCATGTATATCATTATCAATGAGCTGTAGATATTTTTCTTAATGCTAACAGTGATGAAAAACAGAATTATTGGACTTTGAGAGCACAAACCTGTAGCAGTCCATAAACCACAAATGCAACTGTGTGCAAAGCCACATATTTTATGTGTCCAGCTATCAATCATAAAAAAATAACCAACCAAGCAAAAGAAAGATTGAATTATCTTTCTGATGTCTCTATTAAAATTGTGTTAAAGCATTGTCATATGAATGGGCAATCAAAGATTATACTGCCAGAAATATGGCAATATCCTACACATATGTCAGTAGTTCATTAGTAAAAAATTTATTTTGCTGGATTTTGTGATGGTCTTTTTAAGTTTGCAATTTGTTATGATTTACTTATTCATTACAGGTAAACATTCTTTCTGCTTAAAAAAACTCCTTAATTGTAGAAATCAAAACACAATGTAAAATATATTTTTTAAACAAGTAATAGTTTAAAATTTAATTCTATAAATTATAAAGTGAATAGTTTATTTTTGTTGCTGCCTTTAATTTTGAATGTATTTTCTGCTGTGGTTATGGAAGTGATGGTTTTTATTATTATTAATCTTAATTAAAATATAAATTCAAAATATAATTAAAACTAGAGTCTCTGAGATTGTTACATATTAAGAAGTAGATTATTTTCTGCCAAATGTAGCAAAAACTAGACAATTATAATGGAATATATATCTTCATCTAAATTTTGTGGTAAAGAATTTTTACATTTTCTATAACTTGCCTATTTTGAAAGCAAGTTTGTGATTATAGAGTATTTTGACTTGATCTAAAATTATCCTTGTATATTTTGAATGTACAAATTCATTAACTTCTTGTTAGATTGATAATTTTAAAGATGAATTTATTTTGATCAGATGTGATTTTATTATACATTTTATTAATTGA